CCTAACTAATCGCATGATTCATGTTAACCTTTTATTATTCACTTACCAAACCTACTTATTCTACAAAAATTAATGTATAGATTCTAGATTTATTTCAATAAAAAAAAAAAAAAAATTATATGATAATATAATCACTAATTAATAAATGCGTAACTAAAAAAAATATAATTAATCAAAATATCTATAGGTACTGCAGGGTACACACCACACGACTTTTTTTTATCCTGGCATGATTTTGTTGGAGGCACAGTCTGCCGGGGGGGCTAGTGCCCACCCGGCCAATTTCGTAAACACGCCTATAAATCACAATAATATCATCAAATATACTTAGTAAATAGTAATATTATGGGCTGACTGACCGTTTTCGCTCAGAATCGTTTATCTTATACAATGATATTATATCATTGGATTCAAATTTAACACCATCCATTACAGCGATCCACTTGTATACTACTGTACAGCAGAGCGATTTTTTTTACATTTAATACAGGAAACGATAATATTACCCAATGGACAAACAAACGTTTCTATTATCAATTTTATTTTTTGGTTCGAACGTCTATAAGAACGACATTAATAATACATTAGCACATCATATTTTTATACCATATCAATATGTATCCATAAACCTATTACCTACTTGGGACAGTAAAAATGCTTGGATTTTTTTCAACAGTATCTTTTCTAACAGGAAATTGAATCAATCTGGTTGGTACTTCGGGGGGTCAAAAGTAAAATTTCCCAGTAGTTTTAAAAAGCACCGTGAAAAACAAAAAAATATCTATTATTAATATTATTTGAATTATTATGAGTATTTGATCTATACAAATCCAATTTTGGACAAGTAATTTATTACCTATAGGTTCTATAGTACCTGGTTCCTAACACTAATAAATATTTTAATTTTTAAGAAATTGTTGTTTTTAGTGACTTAAAATAGTGTAAAAAAACGTTCAAAGCTTATGAAATAATTAGTGTCTTACATTAAAATTATTATTTAATATCCAATAAATTGTCATATTATATATTATCTAGTATAGGTACTCGTATTGAACAAGTTACAAATACTTTATTTCTATTGATAATATATCATGCCCTATAGTGGGCTCTGTGCAATAACATATATGTATAATATACAACATAATATATATTTTGTTAGCTACCTAGTTAGCTTATATTATTATAGAATAAACATAATACTGATAACAATACAATCTGAATGAGCGCCACTCACAGCAAGATTGACAAGAATTCTAAATTGCAAAACTAGTGATGGGTCGAACGCTGATTTTTTAAATCGAACCGAACTTGAACCGAACTTTAAATTATTTTTTCGAACCCAAACCGAACCGAACCGTAATATTTTCTACCGAACCGAACCGAACCGAACCTAGAATCATTTTAAGTCGAACTCGAACTCGAACTCAATACTTTTTATCATGTACATTGTACCAGCCTACAAATTAAATCAACCACAATTATTAATTAGTATTTAGTAATAAATTACTATTGTATTTAAAATGTTTGTATTACCTACCTATTCTACATTTAAACTTTTAAAGTTTTAAGTTTATGTAATTGTATTTATAATAAATTTAGATGATTTCTTCTTATTTTTTTTTACATAGGTACACAATAAATAATAATAATTTAATAATTAATTATTAAGAAAACAAATAAATAATGATTAGAATTTAGAATGAAGTTGTAAACATGTTTTTATTAACAGGCTATAGCACAGTCGAGGTATCGGAGTATTATCATAGGTTTACCTAAAATAGATTTTAACTTCTACAATAAATATGATAAAAATAAAAATAGCATTACATATTATTATTATGAATCACGGATATAGATACTATGGTTGCACAACGAGCAATAATATAACGGAGCCAAATGTTCTTATCAAGTTACTTACGAGTATATACATATATAGTATCCATACAAAAAAAGTCGCGACATACTAGCGCTCCACAGTGGCTAGGTAACCAGGGTTGGTTACCGTAACTTAGTAGTGGTTGTAGAGGGCGCCCGTGAAACGCGACTTTTTGTCAGACTTGATAAGAACATTCGGTGCCGCTCGGCGCTGTGATCCAATATAGGCCGTCGTGCAACCATAGTATCTATATCCGTGTTATGAATGTAGGTACCCCCGGCCTCTATGGGTGATAAACAACTTAGCCATTGGTTATCGGAGGGGGGTGTAACGGGCGAGGAACAATAACATTATTATTATAAATAATACATGACGTGCCATTACAGCTATAACTTTCTATCGCCAATAGTCTAATTATTTCTTAATAACCATTATCAATTTTTATTTATTTTTAAGTTTGAACTATCGTGGCCAATAAGTCTGGTTAGAGACAAATATTTTCAAGTTCGATTTTCGAACAGTAAGAGATGCTTGATAGTTCGGTTCGAATATTTTTCAAGCCGAGTTCGAATTTCGAACCGAACCGAACATCAAGGGTTCGGTTCGGTTCGGTTCGAGATTCGAACAGTTCGACCCATCACTATGCAAAACTATACCTACTCTAATATAGAACATTCTAAAGAAAAATATAAAATTACTAAGCAAATTGGATAAATTCAAATCCACGGAGAGCTTTATTACACATCGTTTTTCTCGTAAAATCGCAGGGTTTTTGATTTTTTCGATGTAACTTGTTGTTACATTTTTTTGGTCATTGATCAAAAGCTTAAAAATTCAATAATATCAAATAAAACCAAATAAATTACATAACAATAATAACGTTTATTAGTATAAATACTAAATGTAGGTACACAATATTACTGAAATATAGCCATATTTTTATAATTTATACGTAGGTATCATCTTTTTACATAAACACTTCTTTTGATCCAGGGCTAGAATTCTGACAGCAGGGCAGAAGTACCTAACCTCTGTCAGCTACTGCAGATCATTGGCTATTAATTCCACAGTGGCTTTTAAACGTCGCTGCAGTCTTGGCTCCCTCCCCTCTCGCCCTTATTACGTCTGTGTAATACGCCAAGATGAGCTTTTGTCCTGAGTTCATTTATCACTCATTATATAACCACTGTGGAAAAAGCTGTAGGTAAAAACGAGTATTACTAGAGGAAACGGGAACGACCACGACGTGGCGCAAGACACGAAAAAGAGCCGAAGCCGGTGCCGATGCACGAAACGGTTCAACAAACGAGAGGACAAAAAAATGTCTGCCGGGCGAACGCCAACAAAAGGCGAGCCTAAACGGAGGATTTGTTCAAAGTGTCCGGCGAACAAAACGGCGTCCAGCTGGACACAAAAGAGCTGTGAGCTCCGAACAAAATCACACCTGGGCGTATTACACAGGCGTAATAAAGGCGAGAGGGGAGGGGGCCAAGACTGAAGCGACGTTTAAAAGCCACTGCCCCAAACCTCTCACAAAACTGAACATATTACATAATCTATGTTCGGTCGATGTCGGGAACACCGCAACAAAACATTCGCAGTGCAAATGTCTTCGCCCAACTCCACAGTGTGCTACGACTAGGTCAGACAGCGCTTACTATCACGTCCGTTGCTGCAGTATCTCCATATCCGCCTTAATAATAGGTAGAAATGATCGATATAGCCCTTAGACGGGCTAAAGGCTTAGATGCTACTAAATAATATTTAACCGCTTATATAAAGGAAATTTGCGACCACTACTAGATATGCCACGGATTCACTCTAATTTTAAATCAACGGGATCTTCTGAGCTTAAAACTTTTTTTTTTGATAGGTATTTTTTATATAAAATGACAAATATCTAGGTATATATTATATTACTGTGTAACCTAACCAGAAATATAAGCACGTGTCTACGGGTGTAGAACACGATTAAAGATAGACTATCTTAAGCCATGGTGTAGAATGTAGATTGTCGCCGAAATGTCAGACTTAGATGTCGTTTAACCATTTACTATATAGTAATACCAGTAGTACCATTTAGTATCACAACTACTCCTACAACGGTGGCCTATTATCTATGCCTATTTCCTATATAATTCATATATATAATTCCGGCGTCCGGCTTTCGTATTCCATGGTTCACGCCGTTCACGGACTATGATATACTTAGATAAGTCTTAGATAAGTCTATACTTAGATATATTATCTTAGTCCGTGCCATGGTTGATATTATCATTATTGTTCTGTGATATTATTCAATATTATGCAATTAGCACAGATATAAAATACCATGATAAAGAAAAGGTATGTCAGCAACTTTCCGAATTTGAATCATGTTGGCGCATTCCCACTATTTCCTATGTGTTTCTTATGGCGTTGGCAGCCATATTGCTTTTCTTCGTCAATTTTATTATCAGTGTCTATGTTTTAAACATTGAGGAGAAAAGCAATATGGCGGATATGCGTATCACAAAGTTGCTGACATACCTCTATTATTTATCATGTAAAATACTAGATAGCTAACTTGTCTACATATTTAGGAAAATCGATGTTGAAGTCAGCCACGGTGGGTCAATGTTAACATAATTATCTTATCAATACTGTATGATAACATGATAATATTCGCACAGAATAAAGTTTTTTTATAAAATATAAAAAAAATATAAAAAATATACATATCTATTACAATCGATTTTAATGACAACATATAATATTATCCTTATTCAATATTCTATCGTCAGGTATAAAAGTATTTTGACTATCAGATTGTTATCATGTCGTATTGATAAGACAATTATGTAAACATTGACCTACACGCATATTGCGGATAACTTCAATGGTCGATGTCTTGTTACTTGTTACTTGTTAGCTATCTAGTATTTTATATCTGTGGAAATTAGTTATTATTCCCGATAATCTAATACAGTAATGAGTGTGTTATCTTTAGGTGTAATGTGAATGGTGTATGCAAAAACCGCATGCTGATTGCTGAATGAGTATAATATAGAAATTGATCATAATAATATAATCTGTCTTTCTGTCAATTAGCTTACCACACTTACAAAACAATTTTTCAACAAAAATGACTTCAATTATAAATTATCCATTCCGGATCTGTAGGTCCATCTTGACTACTTCATTGGCAACGGAAAGTAGGTGAGTTAAATTTTATCAAAATACAACATTTGTAGTAATTTATATTGTTAGTACCTACATAATAGTTACATATAGACATATAGTATTTAATTGTGTTAGTCTGTAATTATTTAATTAATAAGATTTAAGGGTAACAATCATGTTACAGAATTTTAGTTGCTTAATTAACTATTGAATATTATGTAATTAAATACAATTTTTGTAATACTTAATCTATATAATTATATTGTTGGAAGTCAGGAAGTGGTCAATTTTAGGTCTAATGCTGTGTTCACACAGAGTCTGATTTTGTTTTGTTTCTATTTTAAAAACAATTGTCCTGCCTATGTTGGGAAAAGTTGAGTTAATTTTTTGTTTTGTTTTTTTGTTCTGCGTGAATAATAAGTATTAAGCCATGATTTTCACTAAAATATAAGAAATATGTTGAAAATTCATAATATTATACTTATTGATATAGGTCAGAGGTATTCAAACTGTGCGTCGCGGCTCCCAGGGGAGTCAAAAAAGTTGTCGAAGGGAGCCACGTACAAAGCACCAGAAACCAAAATTAATGTAGGTCATGTATAATTAATATAATTATAATTTATAATCATTGAAGCGATTATGGAAACAATAATGGAACACATTACCCGACTATTTGAAGTTTTGTTTTTAGTATTAAAGTCGCTATTATTATCACCCATATTGACTATAATATTGTATCCCTATTGTTTCAATTCTTCATAATAATTTGGGAGTCTTAAAAATATTGTGAACACACAAAGGAGCCGCGGTATGATAAAGTTTGAATAACTGATATAGGTACAATAGGTACTTAATTAGAGGGACGATGTGAGGGTCATATTCCCCCATATGTGTTATTTAAAATTTTTATTAAATAGTGTGCTTAGGGTTAGGGAGTTATTACAAGTATACTTAAAAAAAATGGCTAGAATTGTTGTACATTTTTATTTTGTCACATCTCGAAGGCACACCATGACACAGATGACTAATCAGTATTCAGTAATTAATAATCATACATTAATTTCATAAATATAATTATAAAAGAATACATTTTGACCAACAAACCGATGCTAATAAGTAATAACAATGCTGCAACGACGACACCCGCATGTCCGTGCAGATAATTATACATTTTCCTACATTAAAACAAGTTTTAAGAAATAATAATTTAATGCACGGATGGGTTTTAATATAATTTCAATTTTGTATCAATATGGACAGTGGACATACCTATCAAATACATTCCAATTGGCAATTAGTGCTGAAAAAGCAATTGATAAATTGACAATATAAAAATTAAATTAAATTTTATACTATGCCTGATAAATTGTTTGTATTTTTGAAAAAATATATTAAATATATATGTTTAGTTATTTATTATTTTAATGTGTAGGTTCCTAGGTTTAAAATTTTTTTCTGATCCCTCCCCCAAAGAAAAATGTAGTAAATTATTGGATATTTTTATTATTATTCAACTAGAAATTATAAATGGGAAAATTAAACTGTCTGGATGATATAAAAAAAATTATATACAAATATATACATATTGTATAAGTATCTATTGTTTAGTATATCTTTTATTCAGGTTAAATGTAACTATATAAAATATATTTATATATACCTATTGGTCAATTTAAATTATTTAAAGGATGCAAATTTCAAATTTAATTGAATGTTTTTACTTTTCAGGATAAATGGTATAATGGGCTACAACATTATTCATCGTAAAATGTCAGATGCTGCTGCTGATGAGTGTAAAGAACAATTAAAAGAAAGTAAAGATAAGATTGATATTGAAGCACTTGTAAAACAAAATGAAGATTTACATGAGGAAAATAAAAGTTTGACCGTATGTTTCAAATATCGTATATAGAATACAGATAGAAGATAATATTTATAATACTCTATTATACTTATCAATAATTTATTGTATTTAGGAAAAGGTTAGGAGATATTTAGCCGAAACAGAAAACATACGCAAACGTACTATTAAAGAAACTGCTGATGCTAAAATTTATGCAATTCAAGGATTTTGTAAAGATTTGCTAGATGTAAGATTAGCAATTTAATTTACAATAATTTAATTTAACATACTAATATTTACTTAGTTTATAACTTCATAAGTAATAACACAATACTTTCTCTAGGTGGCTGACAGTTTAAGTAAAGCTACTGAATGTGTACCGAAAGAAGCAGTATGTGATAGTAATCCACATTTGAAACATTTATATGAAGGTTTGGTGACTACTGAATCACAATTACAAACAGTTAGTATTACTAATAATAAATAATACACAATATGTATATTAAATATTAATTAACTATTAAATAAATGTTACAAATTGTATCTATTTATAGATTTTCCAAAGACATGGGTTAATGTCTATAAATCCTTTAAATGAAAAATTTGATCCCAATTCTCATAAAGCTTTATTCGAACAGGTAACTTCTTTTATAGTTAAAATTAAAAAATAATTATCAATTATGTTATTTTCTTTTTTAGGTTGTTGAAGGCAAAGAAGGAGGTATTGTGGTTGTTGTTTCCCAAATTGGATATAAGTTACATGAACGTATCGTAAGAGCAGCTGCTGTTGGAATTAGCAAGGAACCAAATCAATAAAAATCTATAAAGTCCTTAATTTAAGTATCTGTTGTGAAAATAATCAAGAATATAAATGAATATACAGCCCATAGTTTAAGTAGATTTAAAAAAAAATTATGTAGTTTATTTTTTTCATACAATTATTTGAAATTAATTATACTTATTGTGATATAATATGCTACGTACAAACCTTATTCCATGATCTGACAGGTATAATTGTATTGACTAAGGATTTAGTAAAAAGTAAATTATAATTTTTGCGATACTATATTTTAATAAAATAACTATAATATAATAATATGTTTAATGCGTATTAAAGGGTAATAACTAATAAAAAAATGATTAAAATGAAGATACTTGTTTGTCATTACTTAATCAAAATAATAACTAATACATACAGTGTAGTATTGTTCAAATTTAGATATTGAAAGAAATTATGATAATTTTGTTGATTATTATGTTACGATTAAGGAATAATGAAGCACATTTACAAATAGACAATTTTAAATTCTTTTAAAAGTTTTCTTTAAACTTCAATCTAATAACACATAATAAACATTTTAAAGAAGTATGTGGGCATATCAAATTCTAAGTGGAGAAAAAGTACTAATATTACAACTGATTTTAGATTCTGATTGGGAACAATGAATATATTGATTTTACAATGATGTGTTTTTTTTTATTTTTTTTTGTGTCTGTCATTACCTTTTAGGACAGTAAAAGTGCTTGGATTTTCTTCAACAGTATCTTTTCTGATAGGAAAGTGAATCTAGTTGGTACTTTGGGGGGGCAAAAGTAAAAATTTCCCAGTAGTTTTCAAAAGCGCCGTGAAAATCAAAAGAAAAATTAAGGAAAAACGGGAATTTTTACGCAAAATCGAGAAATTTCGAGAAAATTGATTTTGGTTTTAGGTGTAACTTTAAAACAAATGACTTTAGATACATGAAATTTTCACTGGTTGTTTATATATGCATTATCTATACACAATAACATTTTCAAAATATTTTGATTTATTTTGAACTGTTTAGGAACATTATCAATAAAAATTTATTTGTTGAGTAAAAATACTTGAAAATTTAATACAAGACTCCTACTATATTGTTTCAAAGGCAGATGAAAAATATTCAAAATCCTTAGTCACATTTTTTTTTTAGAAGCATTTAAAGTTCAAAAATTGACAAAATTTATCAAATTTAAAATTGAATAATTATTTTGTAGTTAAAAATGTATAAAATGTTCAACTTCTATATCTAAGGATTGAAAATTTAAAACAAGATTCCACGTTAGTAGTTAATTCTGTTACCAAAAAATCAAAAAATACATAAGCACAGTTTATTTTTATAGTCATTTTAAGTTCAACTTTGGACGAAATTACATAAAAAACCTAGAATAACTATTTTAGTCATTTTTTTGTGATTGTATAATATTCGTGGATACTTGAAACTTCTAAAGTACACCATTATATATCTATGATAGTATCAGGGTTTTTTGTTGAAGTATAACGCGTTATAAGTACCTAATGGATATTGTGATATGATTAATTTGGAATTTATTATAGGTACCTATTATAGATCAATTTTTTGTTTAATATCATAGATATGTATATAATATGTCTTATACCTAGACTGACATACCGTCTCCGCTCAGAATCGTTTTTCTTATACAATGATATTATATCGTTGAATTCAAATTTAATATCATACATTATACAGTGACCCACTTGTAACCTACTGTACAGCAGAGCACCTTTTTTTCTTGTCTGGCATCACATTTTAGGGCAGATAACTGTGAAACTACTTTTTATCTTGTTTCTGGTAGCAGAATAGAAAAAAACAAGAGATTTTGTGCAAAAACCAGCATCAAGAAAATCAATTTTATTTTATTGGTGTTACTAAAAAGAGAATAAGCTTAAATACTTGAACTTTTTACCATATGTTAATATTAGCATAACATAGGAAAACTAGACATTTAAAAACATTTCAATTTTTTTTTTATAATTTTATAAATTTTTTTTTGCTTTCGGTAAGTTGATGTACCTATGTTATTATATGTAGCTATTTAAAAATATTTAAGACACATACTATGCCTGATTTTTTAAGCATTTGAAGTTAATATGTTAACAACATTTAATACATGGTTTCTCACAAGTAGTTCATATTGTAAGCAAAAAATCTAAAAATACAACAAATTTATTTGAAATTGGATATTTAATGAAGAACAATGATTTTAGTTATTTGGTTGATTTAAAAATATTATTTGTGATACTTGAAATTTTAACTTATTTAATTCACAATTAATGACAATATTTTCGACAAAAACTAATTTAACTTATTGTATTACTAATAGTAAAAAAAATCCATTAAAATCAACATAGATATATCATAAAAAATGTGATGCTAGTGATGTTTATATTAATATACATACAGTTGAAAATGTCGAGGAGGGGGTAAATGGCACCCCTTTACCAGGCGTCCTTGACTTTAAGAATTGTTCAAATGGTAAAAAAATTGCCTATACTTAGTGGTTTTAAAATTTGTTGTGGGCCCTAAAATTAATATTCACCCCGAACCATATTGTGTTTTTGCACGTTTATTACAGTGACTTATTCTTCAATGGTATTCTCAAGACCTACTGTACATCAGAGTGGTTACTTTTGCCCAGTTTTTATTTGATGTATTCAGAATTATTTTTATATGCAATTTGTAATTGTTTTTAAATTGATAACATGAATTATAACATACCAATCTGCAGAGGTAATACAATATCTAGATTTCTACTCACATTGTTTCTTAACATTTTAAAACATATACAAGTACATTTAAACTTTATAGTGATAAATGGATAATATTATAATTTTGTAATGGTTTGTATAAACCACAGATATATATATAATATTTATATATATACTGTGGTGTATAAATGAAATAAAAATATAGGACATTAGGATCATGTATCTGAATGGCCAACATATTGGAAAGGTATTCTTTTCTCAGCCCCATCTGTGATTTAGTTTTTAGGGTCCCGTTTGCTAATGATACAATACAACTATATATCATAACAGTGGCGTATTTACGGGGGGGGGGGTCCATGGGGTCCGGACCCCCCCCCCCCCCCCCATTGACTCGTGTCTCGTACATGTTAAATGTTGTGCATTTTTTACATGATTAAAAAACAAATTTTATCATACGATTTTACGGATTTTTTAAAAAATTTTCGAAGCTATAGTTATATCAACATTTTCAATAAATATCGTGATTATATTTATCAGTTGGGTACCGAAAATGGTTGAAAAATACCAAATTCATTTTTTAATTCAAATATTTTGTAGTTTTGTACATTGCCAGTATCTACAACCACTCCAGAGAGATCTTTTTCAACCTTTTTAAGGTTGAAAAGCTACCTATCTAAGATCAACTATAAATGAAGTAGGTACCTAATGTAATTAAGGAAGTATTTGTATAAAAGTTATAACATATAACTACATATTCGATTCTGAGGGATCTATTGGTTCTACAATGGTGTTTATTTTTTTTTCCTGTATAAAAAATTTCTTCCAGAAGGAGTGCTTCGATTTCAACGTGTATAGACATATAGTAACTTATCTTTTAGAAAATTGGATCAGGATAGTACTTTAAAGAGGTCATTTTTCGATTTTCTCAATAGTTATTTAATGCCACTGTAAAACCAACAAAAAATTACGAAAAACCGCTAAAAATGGGATTTTAATTTCTAACACTTTGTCTATCACCATAGAAAAAAATAAAAGTATTTCATTATTAATTCAACTTACAGGCTATAATAAATAATAACAATATAAAATATCCAGACTGACAAACAGTCTTCGCTCAGAATCGTTTTTCTTATACAATGATATTATATCATTGAGTTCAAGTTTAATACAATCCATTATACATTGACCCACTTGTAACCTACTGTACAGCAGCAGAGTGACATCCACTTACCCGCTTTTTTTTAAATTTGTTTTGTACATATTATTATTTAACAATTAAAAACTCGACAATTTTATATCGTCTTATAAATATGGTATATTTATTTAATAAAGAGTAAATGGGTGGCGTGCGGGGCGGCTTCGTCCCCCGTGGCTCTGTGTTCTGAAAATTATCCGGACCCTCCCCATGGCAAATTCCTAAATACGCCACTGTATCATAATGTTCAAATATAAACACTGCTAAATGATTGATTATGATTGTGATAATATGGACATTAGATAATAGAGCCCAAGAAAAAAAATTCTGCCTGGGACATTTGTTATCCAGGCAAACCGTGCATAGGATTGATTAGTTTTATACATAATAAATTTACACCGAACATTAAAATAAAAACACCAATATTTAATTAAAAAATACAATTTTAGGTATTTCCTCATTGTTAAAAAAACACATTTAAAACACATCCATATTTAAGTATAAATACCATAATTATTATAAAACATAACAAACATAATATACGTTTTTGAAAAGCAACAATTTGAGTTTATTAAATATATATTTTAATTTAAATGAAAGGGATTGAATGCAGCTTTTTACACATATTAAGTACTACATATTTTCATTCCAATGATCATTACCTCATTACCAATAAGGCAATAAGAAACCATTTGAGAACCCAAGGAGATTGGGTTAGAATTCTTAAAAAATGTTGAGTTTATACCACAAATTAAGATAGTTAATTTGTGGTTTATACATATTTGAATGAGTTTGACTTTTAATTTTATCCTCTTAGGCTCCAAAAGTTTAAAATTCTTATTATTTATTGAAAACAAAATGTGAAAAGACAATCTTCAGTGAGTTGCCACACTAAAAGGGTCAAATTTGGTTTTAAACATTTTTATTGGATCTTTAAGTCAATTGATATCTTGAAAGTATCATAACAATTTTTTATTGAATGAAAGTGTAACTGTACTAATGTACTGTTATGTATTTTTATCTGTACATGTTTCAAAAATATCTATTTATTCTTAATAGTTAATAGTCACTTAGTTTTCGCAATCAAAATGTATAAATACAAAATTGTCTTAGCGTAACTAACAAGTAAATAACCACTATCAATCCCCTTCAAATATTAAAACTAATTAAATTTGATGAAGCTAGTTAAGTATTAAGAACAAACTTTATAAAAAAAAAAGTTTTCAAAAAAACGAGAACAATCATTTATAGGATAAAAGATGTAATTCAATATTTATTTTTATACATCGCTATTTGCTATCTATTCAAATTTAATTTAATTTATAAAGTTTGTGCATACTATATCATTACATTAAATGTGTAAGAGTATGTTAATATTTAAATAAGTAAGGAAATAATTTTGAATACACAATTACAATATAATATATGATCTAATAAATAAACAATACAAATATCCTTATATAATAATAAAATATTGTGTATGTAAAAATATTTCGATGATAAAATTATTCATACATAAGAAACCATAGGTTTTTAAGTACATTATTGTTACATAAACAAACTATCCAAAGAAAATCACCAAGAATGTCAATTTGACTAATATCATTGTAGTACACACTTTGTTAAAAAAAAAAAAAAATGTACGAAAAAGTAAAAAAAGTTACCATTTAAAATTCAGAAATAATAGTTGATACAAAAGGTGAAAAACATCGATAATTATTTTACTCAAAAATAAAATTAGCTATTTAAAAAAAGCAGACATTCTAAGTGATTTAAAAGTAATGTATACATCAATGCAAATAACAACATACATATAACTACAACTACATACTAAAGATGTATTTAAGTATAAAACCAAAATAATTACCTGATGAATATTGACGGAATAATGTTTTGACATAATATTTAAATATAATAATAATAATAATAATAAAATAAGTAATAACAGCGAAACGAAGCAGTTTGTTAACTAAGCACCATAAGGACTTGATGATCACAAAAATTATTTTTAATAATATACACAAATAATAATTAATCTAAGGTAATAATAATAAATGCATATTTCAAATAAAAGAAATAATAATAAAACTATACACTAAAACTGGTTTGAAAAAGGTTTGTTCATAACAATTGAGTAAAATATGTACGTCAATAATTTATATAGTAAAAATTATAAACAAAAAAATAAATAAATCAAAGTTTCACACTAACACAAGCAGTTTAATGCATACTTTAATCATTATGACATTGAATGGTTTACCTAATCTAGACTATAAGATAACATATCTAAATTACTTTTAAAAAAACGCTTCATCCACATGCGATATGTCATTTAAGTTCGAAGAAAAATCCATTTCTAAGGAATCATTTCCAAATGCCATCATACTAAATAAGCAAAACAATATATTTTTTTTTAAGCCAATAAAATAAATAAAACATTTATATTATTATACATTAAATTAATAATACTAAAATCAGTAAATGTACTCAATACATACGGCATACATTTAATGCAACTTTTTTAATTGTTTTCAGTTATGTTTGAGATTCAAAAGCGATCAATACTGAAACTATGAATTAAAATATTTGTTAAAACCTAAGTTTTGATAAATTTAAAAATTATTAACACATACAAATTAGCGTTAGCCTACCTATGATAACATTTATGGTTCAAAGCACACCTTTAAAAAAGCCAATATTAAGTTTTAAACACAACCTTATTAATTTTCTTAATTTTTGTATCAAATAAAATCAATCATACTTCAGTACTATGTTTTAAAATACAGTTCTTAATACATAAATGCAACCTATATAATCTAATGAGATAGGAATAAACTAAAGGAATTAGGTTTTTATATTCTATTATATCGATGAATTGATGAAAAATAACAGATGTAATAAAATAATAAAAAAAAATTAACATCCAAATTGTCTCGGAACTTTATCCCAGGATCATAGTACAGGCATTCCTAAATCCCGTCATAGGATGGCAGCTGAAAAAAACGACCCTGGACGGTACTTTTCAGATGTACTGTTGAGTTAAAGCAAAATTAAAAATTATTTTTTTTTTAGATAGAAATACATTTTACACTTAATTTTTTATTATAATATTTGGAACCTTTCTAAAAATAATAATATATATCGATTTATAAGTCGAGAATATAAGACATAAATAAATCTGTCGAACAAATTCTCTAGTATTGAATATAAACTATTAATACAGTAGTTATCATTTATTATTTTTATCATCATTCATCAAAATATTTTTTAAAAGATTGTGAAATTTAACATAAATTCATCAATGCAGGTAAAAAAAAATTGTTGTTTTATAGTGTGCAAAATCTGCTTCATACTAGACTATAATTTAGTATTAAACAGATACATTTTTAGTAATTTGTGACATTAGCTATTACTCAATGTATATGCATTGGTATGTTTTTTTTGCAGCATTCTATTAAAAATTTGGTTAGTCATGTCCGCAAATCACATATTATTGATAAAATATTTTATTTATAATCATTAATTTAATAGTTTTTTTATTCTCATTGATTTGAGTGAGAAAATCACATGTGTGTACCTATATTTAAATTAAAGTACTGTAAATCCTAGAATGCCATTGCCTGACCTGTAGTTTTGCCTATGCTGGTAATTTAAATATGTATTTCAGTGATAACTGGCAAACATATTTACTATTTAGATTTATTTAGACTAAAAAAAAACTATTTAAATTATATAAAGAGTAACATTAATTTCTCATAGGTCATTCAAATGTAATGTGAGAACAAAACAATTATATTAAATTGCAAAAAATGACAACTACTGTAATATTAATTGAAAAAGAAACTGCCAAATTCATACTTATAATTAAAGGCTTTTCATATTTTTTTAGTACCAAATATTTTTTTATTTATGTATTTTAAATTAATTTAAGTTAATAAATTTAGATTTCATAACTTAATAGGAATTTTATTTTAATGGGCAATTAATATTTTTTGTAATAATATAAATGATTAATAGTATAATGATTTTTTAATTTTTAATAAATTTAAATTTAAAGGCTCCATATAATATTTACATATTATTAATAAAAAGTATGGTCATGCATTATATATAAAAAAAAAATAAAATATAATAAAATGGCAAAAAACTGATATAGGTACGTGCTGGTTACATAAATATTAGCATGAAATTAGTAGTGTACATAGTACTTTAAACCATATCAACAGTGTGAAATTTATTCCATGTACACCACTTGAAAGGATAAAAAATAATAATATTTTCATTAGAAGTGAGCGAGCATTAAAGTTTGTTTCTATAAAAATATACAAAGTAACAAACAATATAATTTATATAATATTGCAATAATATTTCTACTTATGTAAAATACAAGCTGATTGCACACCCAAAGTTAAGCCAATCTGGGTTTAATAAAACAAGAACTCATTGATAATGAATGTTTGATGATAGTTTTTCAATATTTGGATTATATATATATATATATACAATATATAAGTATTATTTTAAGGCTAATAATAAATAATGTAATAGAAGTTGTATAGAATATTAATAAGTTATAAAAGTTTGTTTAAATGTAGTATATATTTTGTAGTAAATTGAATATGGGAATGTTTAAGAAATGAACAATATTTCCTTTTTTAACCTTAATTATACTAAAAAATTAAAATATATTCTAAGCTACACACGCTGTTTAAAATTTAAACGTAAATAAGACAATTTAATTAAAAAATTATTTTAATACATACATCTTATTTATGAAAATAAGATACACATACACAAAACACACACAGGAGATCACTGCGACCCATGTCACCAAATCAAACTGCCTGTGAAAATACGAGTGAAAACTCAAAAACAATAATTAAAGATATCTATAATTAACAACCTGTTAATAGTGATAAATATTAATATTTACTTAAAATTAAAAATATAATTTTATTTATAATAATAAACTTACTCACTCACTTCTAATTAATATAATCTCTTTTAAACTCAAACAAAACTAAAGTCAAGCTAAAAGTAATTGTGCATTAAATTATTGGAAGTATAATTCTTACTTATTTACTGGTTCACTGTGCACTGATGACGTTTCTCTAATGCTACAATTTCCAGGGCTGTTTACATGAAACATGTGATTCTGAGGAGTGTTTGGATAGCTATTCATTCCTTGTCCGTTGGTTCCAGGTCCGCCCCAACCAGGAACATGCGTAACTAGTAATGGCTTTAAATATCCATTACTTGTAACAGGTGTGCTAATATCTAAATTATGAAAATAGAATAATATATTAAAAAAAGTAATAATTAAAATTTTTTTAAATAGGGTTGCTTTTTATTTCAGTTTAAATACGAGACATTCAATTTTAGGAGATACAGGGGGTATCCAAAATCCCAATTATATTTGGGTAGTATCCATGCCTAAGAAAATAAAACATTTCTTGATCTCCTTACATACTATACATACTAATTAAAATTGTTAATTGGTTTAATTGTTTAGTAAAAGGGTATTAATTTTGCATTTTTTCAGTAAAAAAACCTAGTTATTTTGGAGAAGTTATTAAATAAAATATTTAACATTCACCAATCGGTTTCCACAATCACTAATAAAAAGAACAAAATATTTATTTTGATAAAACAACAATGAACTTTACACGACATAAGTTACACAAGATAATAAATAATTGAATGTTATGAATCGAGGTGTTATACTTGTCAGAACGTCATAAAAAAGTTTTACTATATAACAGACAACAGATAAAAATTAATTTACAGTTAGAATGTTTAGATCATTGGGGGAAGCAAAACTTTAAATAAAATATAAATATCGGAAATGTATTTTAATAGTTTTCGTAAACCTGAATTTTTCAAGCCACTGGACTTTTCTTTTAGAGGAAACCAGAATTATTTATGATCTCGGCCAGGACTTGAAGACTATCTTTAAATCAACCAGTAGTGTAGAGCTCTAGTCAAGAAGATTGGCACCGCTATTTTGGAACGGTTTTTTGAATTGATACAATTTAAAATATAATTTAATTAAGTGTATGTAATAAGCAAAACTAATTTGTAAAAATAAAAATATATGAATACTTGGTGGTTGTGTATAGTATTTTCCGAATGCTTGGTTTTTATCAATATCAGGATATAACTTTGTAAGATATGGCAAGTCCAATAGTCTATCAGCCAAGTTTCGAATTGATAAATCTTTAGCTGAGAAAGGATGTAAACTATAGGCATCTGAATCATTGGCTGAACAAAAAAAAAAATATTAAAATAACTAAATAGTTTTATTATTAATCTAATGACATATAATATAACTTACATCCAGCCCAGGCAACAGTTAGCCCACCTAGTTCTGAATCAGAAAATCTTAATAAAAATGTACCCGTAGCATATCTTGTCAACATCTCTTCTGCATCAGACTTTCTTATGAATCCCATAATGGCACTATATATTTTTGTTATAATATTAACTTATCATAATATAATATATACAATTATTTTCTAGTAATTACCCATCAGTCCAAGGACCTTTTAGATGTTCTCTAGTTATTTTCATCACGGCATAAAACCATTCCCAAAATGTGAAACTTCTTTGTGGCAATGGTTCTTTACAAAATTGTGACCATGACAAAACCATATGATTAAAATCCACATTTTGCATTCTGAAAATATATTTTTTAATTATTAATAACTTAAACTATTATTGATTTAATCTATTTACCTAAAAGCTTTTTCTGCCAAAAATGTCAAGCTTTCTTCTGAGAGACCACGACCTGTAGCTGCAGAAAACTTCATGTTTAAAGCTTCTGCCACATTTCTCCACGGTACTTTGTCGGGAACATTAAATGGAACACGGCCAGGTTCAGCAAAAGCATTATCCCAAGTTACAGTAGCCCAAGCATGAGGATCTTGATTCCCATGCACAATAACTACCACAGGTAATGACAAATTCCACACCTAAAATTAATTTTTTCAATATTACACACTTATTTAATATTTTTTTATGAAATCTGTAATAATATAACTTATATAGCATAATACACCTACTAAATTATTTTTCTAATATATTTTAATCAAAATCGGTAGTGTAAAATTAATTTTAAATAGTTTTAAAGAGCAATGGTACTAATTTTTTACCATATTATAACTTCATATGATATATATTTTATTCTTTAGTTTGATATTTGTTTAAGTATTCAAATTAAAAATTATAAGAAAACTTACCTCAAATTGGAGTTCATTACCAATGAAAAATTTGGAAGAAAATAAAATTGAAAATTTTTCATCCATAACAGATTCTGTGCCTTTTTTTTCAGTGCGCTTAATTTTCTTTAGTTGCATACTTCTATTATATTTTAATAAACATTATTATTTGACTGACTTATAAAAGATTGTAAATTAAAAATTATAATTTACCGGAAATTGGTTGACAAATGTCTCTGCACTGGTTGATATTCCATTTTTCCAGTGCAGTTTAATATTTCACCACAAGATTCTCCATCTGGTTTATTTCTTCCAATTATTTGGTTCGCTTGAGATTCACTGACTATAGATACTTTAACCTAATACAGTTAATATCATAATTATGGCTAGGATTTATTTTCATTAATATATTTTTACTGGCAGTGGTTTTTATGAGTTTGTTTATTTATGTCTATAAATCACACCATATTAATATAAATAGTAAAATTTCTTAATTTACATATTTTAAATACAAACATAAAAATTGAATGTTTTTTAGTATATTTTGGCAGTGGGTAAGGGATAAAAAATAAGGGACCGGTCCAACGTGTGATCTATCGATAACAGATACCTATATTTTAGTGCCTACTATAACTATACAACTATCGATACGATATAGATTTTACGACTTAACCTGTATAATTATTGATATGATATGGATTTTGTGACTGAATTGTATTTTTCAAATATAATTTAAACATTCAGTTGACATTTAGTGTCATTTTGTTTGTTGGTTAATTTTTTCCATCTTTTTTCAAGAGTGAGTGTAATATTTTTTGATTTAACATTCTATAGTTTTGTACAGATTTAAAATGAATTCTACTAAAACAATGGGATATTTATAAAGAAATATAATTATTGATGAATTGAAATGCGTTGAATATTTAAAAAGTAAAAACCTTTTAAGAAACAATCGTTCGGTTTGCTCAAAAAAGAATATTGATGGCACCGAATGTGGTGGACAATTAAGTGAAACAACAAGGTCCAGTAAACAAGACATTCGCACATTCGGACATTTGTACTCTTAAAAATTTGTTACTATAAGGTGTACAAAAAAAAGATGCCAAACATATCAGTCAATTGGCTACAATCTGGTCGTAGTCTGGTCGCGATACTGTATAGTAGATGTAGTAATTACATTTATATCTTACCTTTATGAAAATGTCATACCCCTCATGTGTTGCTTGAACAAATTTTTGTTCACCAATTTCAATAATGTGCTGTTAGTTTTGAATTTTGATATTCGAGTGAATTGACCTATTATCAAACTTTTAGGTAAGGACCATTATCTGTGTTCTAGCAAAGGTTTTTTTTATTTTAATTTTTAAATAAATATGAATTATGAGTATGTAAAATATTAATATTTGAAAATGCTCACAATTCACTTTAAAATTAAAATGTTGTAAATAAAACTATGTTAGAATACAGATAAAGTTCTCACCTAAGGTTTTTAGGATAGGTTGATTCAGTATAATACCAAAACTAAAAGCACACTATTGAAACTGGTGAACAAAAATGTTTTATTTTGCACATGTTTAAGATGGAGACAACCCATGCGGGTATGACATCCTCTTAATATTGCACTCATATTGCTGTGAAAATATTCAGTTACAAATGGCCATGCCCATTAAAAACATAGACCATTTTTTGTTAATGATTTTCTTATCAGTTAACAATAATTTTTTGCTTTTTGCTGTTTATCAAAGGAAAATTATTTTTGGGCACGACTGTATCGAAAGTTTGGTTTTTAACAGTGCTAGTTGAAGAGTTGGATAAAGACCTTTTTAATTGTCTAGCAGACAATAAATGCTTTTTTTCTGGAGGTTACAATTGTCAGAAAACTTACGGTGAAAGTCAGATTATGTACATGAACATATCCTTGAGTTATCAAAAATTAAAAAAAAATATTAAAAATAGAGGACTAAAATCTATGTTCATAATGTCATACTTTAAATAGCAATAATCTGGATAAGATATCCATTAAAATCTAAATCCTGAGGAAATTACTTGTTTTAGATATATATACGAAGATTATGTTATGTGATATCAAAGGTAATTTTAGTAAGTATAAGAATATATTAAGATCAAACCAAAGATAGTTTAGTTTCTAACATTTTTAACTTTTTTTTTGTATTTTTCTTCATATTTTACATAATAGTACCAATAGAAGAAGTCTTAATTAAAAAATATGTTTTTTGTTATATTAGGTTCTAATTATAGTATTATACTGCACCCTATACTCTCATAGTCATCATTATTACATAAAATATAAATTAAAAAAATACATATATAATACAGGGATATGCAGTGAATCAATTTATTTTTGTATACAATTCTTTTTTTCTTTAATATTAAGATAAATTATATCAAAATAAAGGGCTTTATGCTCAAAATATGAAATAAAAATGTTGTTTTATACATAAAAATAATTTAAGCCATTTATTATATATTTTTACCAGTAGAAAAAATTATTTTAATAATGAGAAAAAATATAAGTAAACCAGTAAATAATTTAAATGTTTGATTATGTGATGATACTAATATTTCCCCACAAGATAGTATGCTTATTTGATAGTGTTATATTATTATGCTAGTAACGATAATCAAAATAACTTTTTATATCCAATAGTAGGTACTTTCCTAATTTTAAATTTTAAAATTGCATAAAATGATCAATCTTGATATAAAATGTAGCTGCTAAAATAAATATTAAAAGAAAATTGTTTCATACCACAGGTGATGTCATATGAATATTGAGTTTTCCTCCAATTAATAGACGAACTTCAGCTACAAATCTTGTATTAGTTTTTAATACTTGAGGTGGTTGAGTTATGATAACAAAAGTACTAAATAAAAAATTTGAGAAATAATAACAATAAAATAATTTTAAATTACAAAGAACATACCTTGCCACTAATGATGAAAGATATTGTGTTGTCATATCAAGAAGAGTATTAATTATTTCACACGACTGAGGTAATTCAAAATAACGACCCAAATTCACTCTGAAACGATCAGCTTCTTTAATTTGTGAACGTGTTATCCATATTAAATCACATAATTTCTCACACCTAAAAAGAATATATTATTGAATCATATTTAACTCATTCAACATTAATTTAATAGAAAGTTCTTATAAGTACCAAGTTTGTATGACATCTATATCTTTCATGTATTTATATCCGTTACCAGCCAACTGTTGTTCACGTTTCCACTGAATTAATGCCTTATCAATAATATGAGCTTGAACAGGACTGAGCAAATTTAATGATTCGTTAAGTTTGTTTATGTAGACACAAAGAGCATTGTTAAGACTTAATGATTGAGTCTTCAATTGTCCTTCATACAATTCTTTTTCCTGTTTTAATTTACGTTCAATTTCGGGTCCTTGAGGAATGCTCATTCTTTGATTTCTCATATGTTGTAGATGTTCTGGAATGTAAAAATAGTTATTAATATACATATTAATAATTTATACTTTACTAAAAACTTACGAGAACATTTTGTACATTCAGAGTACAAAATATTAAAAGAATCAATGTCTGATTGGATTGTAATGCGAATCTCATTTGTATGCGTAATATGGTTACTTATCAAGTCCATCTGTTGCGTAATTTCAATGTTTTCTAATTCTTGGGAAGATTTTACATTGACTTCCATTAGAGACTAAATAAAATTAATAAATTATACTTACAAGTTTCAAATCAAATTCTTTTATATACAGATATAATATTTATAAATTCTGAAATTTAATTTTTGTTGACGTAATAGTATATCCTCCCATATCTCATAATACTTAACAATAATTCAATTTCATTATTTAAAAATACTAAAACTGTATAGATTATAAAACAATAACTTTATTTAATTTTCAGTTACCAGTAACCATTTGATTAAATACAAACAAAAACAGAATAATTAAAGCTAAATTTTACAATATTGTAAGAATTGGTCTACTTTACTTATTTTACTTTTCACAAAAAATTGATTTTCATTCTAATTTAATTTTAAATTATCATGTTTTTTGTCTATAAGAAATATTAGTGAACCTATTGACAAAAGTTTACATAATTATATACATTGTTAAAAATGTTGGCTTTGGGAGCATTGACAGGTATATAATATATGTTTACCACAAATGGTGTTTTCTTTATTTCATAGGGTTTTGTCTCATAAGCTAACATATTTATTATAAGACCTTATTTAGAACGTATTTATAAGTCATTGCTAAAAATTAAGTGATGAAAATGAGACACAATGCCTCAGAAAATTTTATTCCCCTAATCTAGTCAATGAGTAGTGCCGTAGTTTGTTTCTCAAAGAATTAAAAGAACTTTCTTTTATTAAACCAGAATACTATTTTTTAAAAGCCTAGGCACATCAATAATAAATTAGTTTTTGTCATGGTTGAAATATAAAGGTTATTGCATATAGACTAAGGTTGTTAACATAAGAAACAAAATAGCTGCGTAAAGGGATATCATAAATATCAATTTTTCTTATCATCAAAAATATGCTGAAAAAAAGCAAAAAAAGATCCTACGCTTACACACTTCATTACTATTGGCTCCCTTAGCCCTGCCATTTTTGTTTTACCATCAAATATTTGATTGAGAAGGGGTATATATGCAATAACCTTGTATATTTCAACCATGGTTTTTGTTTTGATTTCATAGTATTAGAGAATGTGGTACAAGTATGGTAAATTTAACCCATAAAAAATTCCAAACATTTCCAATATGTTAAACAATAATTGGTAATTGGAAGTATAAACACTTAGTATACACACATTATTTTGTTGAGCCATTAAGGATTCTGATTCCAAACACTTTTTAATTATTCTTATCAACTCTTTTGGGTTTTGAGAGTACTTCTCCTGTAAAAAGAACAAGAATTAATACAAATATTATTTAATTCATATATACAAAATTTAATTTTGTTTAGTTTTAAATAAATGATTATTTGTTTTATTTATTTAACCTTGTTCTAAAGTTGAATACATATTATGATTTTAATACTTACTTTATATAATTTTGCTGTATCAATTAGTTTTAGTTTACTGACGAATTGTTCATTAGTTACCATAGAATTAGCTTTAGATACTAATTCATCCACAAAAGACACAAATAAACCTTTAATATAACCTTCATGCTCTAAATTATCTGGATCGATATCAGTCCTAAAAATATTAATTTTATAAATATTTCAATATTTGAGAAATATAAACTTTATCTAGTTAATATTTTTTTACCAATAATACTTCACATAATTTACTAAGCATTTATATTGTAACATAAGAATGACAAAATCAAAATGACAAATTCTGTACAATAATATTATTTAACTAGTAACTAGTATGCTATTCATTAAAAAACACAATTTAAATAGATTAGTATAAGTATATTAAATCTTATCTGATTGATTTATCAGAGCATAATTTGATGGTTCCAGGAAATAGTAATTTCATACAAGCATTATGGATAATTGTTGCAGGTCACACACATGCAGAAGTATATAATAAATATTTGTGTTATACTCATTATTAGTCTTATCCTAATCATAAACTATATTGATAACACTGACTATGATAAAAGTTTAAAAGAATGCTGAAATAAGTTTTGGATACAAGAATTAAAGTATCTTAACTAGAGTGCTGTTTAAAATTTTTCTTTTGAATTGAATAAATACATTTTCGATATTATCTGGACAATAATAGTCGTAATTAATTTTGGCCAAATTTTTTTTCCAAAGGTAATTAGTAGAATTATGACTATGCCAGTATTTCAAATTTAATGATATAATTGGTATTTTCTTTTGAACATCTAGTAATATATACTTCAAAAAGTAATTTACTTTTTCAACAATAAATCTATATATACCTACATACAATGTTCTTATTGATTAGTAGCTTGTACAACATTTGAGATTTCTTTATTTCCAATTTAGGCAGATAATTACAAGATTATAGAGTTGATTGTGTAAGATTCTAATTCATGTCGTATATTGTATAAATTCATGGAAATAGTTTGGTATCTCTCTAATTATTAGTGATAAAAATGAAACATGATACATACTAACATTTTATAGTAAATTAATAATTCTGATTTCATTAAAAAAATTATTAATTCTGTTTTGTAACAAATAAAGTATTAGCATTTTTTTTGTTTTTTGATTGTTCATATACTTTATAGGAATTTAAAAACATAAATTCTTCAAATGAAATTTTTTTTAGAATATTTAAATATGTTTAAAAATAATAATATAATTTACATACCTAATAGAATACACTTAAAGAGGACGTCTTCACCCGGATGTGTTGTCTCCGTCTTACACACGGACGACATAGCAAATTTTCGTTTGTTAGTTTCAATAGGGTATTGTCAGTTTTGATATTAGAGTGAATCGACCTATTATCAAACTTTAGGTAACAAGATTATCTGTGTTATCTCGTTGGTTTTTTACGATATTTTAATTTTTAAGTGAGTTATTAACATTTTAGAATATGAATACTTACCATACCCATAACTCACTTAAAAATTAAAATATTGTAAAAACCCAACGAGCGAACACACATACAGTTCTTACCTAAAAATTTGATAATAGGTCAATTCACTCTAATATAAAAACTGACAATACCCTATTGAAACTAGCCAACGAACATTTGCTGTGTCGTATGTGTGTAAGACAGAGACAACACATGCGGGTGCGACGTCCTCTTAATGAAATTCCAGAAGTATTTAGTAATACATGAATAATAAAATTAGAAGAATAGCAATGATAAGTATTTGTTAATTTAACCATATTTCCATTGTTCGATAATAAATTGGGATTCATTGATTTTTGTTTTTATATTATATTTCTACATTTATCAATTGAGAAATCAAAAAGGTTTCATACCATCTTAATTATAATACTCATATGTAATTAACTCCTTAAATACATATGATAGCATTAAAATAAAAATTACTGTTTTTTTTTTAGATTACATTAAACATTATAATGTAATGTTATTTTTTTTTTCAAAATTACAAGTAAAATTATTTGTGTTTTGGATAAAAATAAAGTTTTTTTGCTAAGTATTATTAAAATAATTTTCAAAACACTACAAGAAAAATATTAAAAGTTTATAGGTACTGTGTATTTTTGCATATTTATTAATTTTTCCAGCTTTTATTAGAAACAAGAGTAGTTGCACGTTGTATTTTTCATAACAGCCCTAATATATTATGATTCATGATACCATACACATGTTAAATATTAATATATTTACTGTACTTTGAACATTAATTTATTTATTTTAGGAGCAGCTATAAAATAAAATTTATTGAAATATAATATCTTCACAATTTTTTTTTTAATTTTAAATTTATTATGTTATTTTTTCAGTTTAAAACATAAATAATGACATTTTTGATACCCATGACTATTGATAAGATAAAAATAGAATAGAATTTTATTTTTTATTTTTAGGAGAAAATATACAATCTATATCATGGACATAATTGAGTATATGTGGGCTAAGAAAAAAAAATAAAATAGAACAAGGGTTACATAATTTGGGGAAAGAAGTTACCAATTGATGACACTTTCAATTTCATTTGGTTTTGTGATATTTTTATTTTATAATGTAATAAATCTCTTCACAATTTATTTAGTTGCCTAGAGGGGCTACCAAGGATTGTGATGGATGAAATATAAGTTAAATAAATAAATAAATACAAAACGGTTATATTATTTACAACAGCGTGCTGTAAAGTTAAAAGCATATTTCTTAATTTTACCATTTTTAAGAGTATATTTGATGATTAATGATAAGTTCATAATACAATTTGAAAATTTGGCAGTAAAAAAAATTACATTATAATGTAGGTATCTATATTTATTTTGAGTTTTTACCAAGCATTATTTTATCACGTTTTTCAAATACCTAGTTGACATACAATTTCCCCTTTTCATTTATAAATATTAAGTAGGTAATTAACTAAAAATTATAAAAGGTTAATTTTTTTTTTAGAAAATTGCATTTATGAAAATTTTGATTTAAAAAAAAAAAATGTGCATATTTCTTTTTTTAAGAACTGAAGTCTATGCATATTTAGTACAGATTCTTAGTGATAACTATGATGCATGAATTATGTAATTAAGATACATTCAGGTTCAATGAAGACTCAAATATATGAATTAGAAGTCAGTGACTTAAAATAGTTTAAATATATACTAAGGAAGTTTATACTTTATACATAGTTGAATGGACAACTAAATTTATATTTTAAAGACAAAAAATTTAAATTTAAATTAGGAACTTTACTCTAAAATGTACAAAATAAAGTTGTTTCGATTGATGATAAAACATTTGCAAACAAATATTATATCATAAATCAGTGGCGTGCAGAACTGTCACCAATGGGACCTAGGCCCCACTTTAAAATCAGGGGTAGGTCGGTGGTTGGTTGAACATTTTGATAAGAATTACTTGAAATAAAACTAGCGTTGTCGAGTATAATATTCTATGAATTATAACTAATAGACTACATGGAATGTGTACGATTCTCAGTTACTATTGAGTAAGCTCCACATGGGGAAAAGTTCTGTGCACACCACTGTCATAAGTTATTGATTAAAACTACCTTTAGTACACTCTAATAAATATTTTAGTCTAAGATCTTTAGTATAATGCTGGTGAATCAGATCCTTGATTATTGTAATTTAATTAATATATTTGTACCTACCTAATATTTAAATCTTTAAAAAATACAACTCATCTTAAAAGTCAAATATGAATTAGACATGAATTTACCTAAAAATAATTTCTTTATTATATTAAGAAAAATCTTTAAAATATAAGGTATTATAAAAGAAATATATTGTTTATTTAAACTGAAAATAAGATTAAAATATAATAATGTTGGACACAGGTATTTAATTTTAATGTTGTAAAATGCTATAGGTTCTATTAAATAATGTTGATTAATGATTTTCACATGATGTTTATAAAATGTGTAACTAATTATAACAATGTATAAGTAGAAGTTAAAAATATCATACCAAGCTTTAGTTTCAAACCATGGGGATAACAACTGCCTCACTTCAATTGGAAAATGATCATTATAAATCTGATGAAAGTCTTCTCCATGTAGATTCTGTTGAAGTTTTTCCCAAGCCGTAATCGGAGACACTAAAATTAAATGTTGAGATCAGATAACAAAATTAAATGAAAAAAAAATGTTTTCTCAAAAGATGGATGATAAACATTTATACCTACTTACTTATACTTGGGAAGGGCTTAAGTGCGCACTTGTTTTTTGCCTCAAAAGCCTTTTATATAAGTATACATTTCTCGATATATACGCACTACAATATCAAATAAAATAACTTAAAACGCACAAAATGAAATTGAGAGGTTGTTAGGTTTGCACGTATTGTTAAAAGTAATAACTGGGAACAGGTACAGATAGTTGTCAATAATTAATTTACTAAAATTAATAAAGTAAAAAATTGCTTACTGCTGCCTGCAGAAATGCAGAATCAATCAATTTCAGTATTACCAATTTTAGTTCTTAATGATTTTGTTTAATATTTCAATTTTTTGTTAAAATATTCCTGTGCAACAGTTGTCAAAATTTTTGTTGTTACTTGTTACTAACATCATGCCAAAATAAAATCTTACTTTTTGTTGCCAACATCAATACTTCGTTTCATAATATGACGAAAACACGGGTCGCGGACCAAGATAACCTATCTATCTATAGAGTATTAGTTTGTAAACTGCGGTGAAAAACCGAAAACCATTATAGAAATATCAAATTATCAAAATAGTCATTATTAATGCTGAAAACGTTGTGAATGGGTTATGACCACGATTTAAGATGTAATGATATAATGTACGATATACAATTAAGGTACATCTTAATTCTTAAATCGTGGTTATGACCATTGTTCTATACTTCTATGTTATGAGTTATGACTTATGAATAAAATATATAGGATTTTGATAAATAATAAATAGCAGGTAGCGGTCTCAATCTCGAATAAGGAAGGGAGATGTCAATATAAAATGTCATCGATTTATACATAGATTTATATGTATAGATCTTTCGATATTATAGCTAACCTAAACTTTCTAGCTTGTACAATTAGTGATTACGTATTTATACATGTGCATGTGTATATTTCATAAATATTATTTTTATTTTTGTGTAAATAATTAAATTTTACAATCCGTTAACACTATACCTAGTTATTTTATATGTATATATATCTTCTTTCACAGAAACTAGCGAGTTCCTATTCCGTACGATACTATTCGATACACCACACATGCGTTCTCTTGAACAATCGTTTTGTAGTTTGTTCTAATATATGTAATATGTATCGTTACACTCAAATTTGTTTGAGGACGTAACATTGGTATTTGTTGTCTCCGTCTTACCAGTGCGTAACATTGCAAATTTACGCTCAGCAGAACACTCGTAGCTTCGTAAGTTTTAACGTTAGAGTGAGGTGACCTAATATGAATGTTGGTGGTAAGAACATTATCTGTGTTTGTACGTTGGTTTTTTTTAACGATAATTCAGTTTTTATGTGAGTTATGAGCATTTTTAATTTAAGTATATTATATACGCATAATGTACTAAAAAATTTGACTATCGTAAAAAACCAACGCACAAACACCAGTGGCGTAATTAGGAATTTGGTTTGGGGGGATATACGTTTTTAGCAAACATGAATGGTCATTAATCATCAATACTTTGATCAAAATGTTGGCAGTAAAAAAGAAGTTTTGGGAGGGGGTCTATGAGGGTCATGGTTAAAAATAATGCGTATAGGTATATTTTCCAAAAAAAAACATGAATAATTCCTATACTATGCAAGGGTTAAATTAGCAACCCTAGCGTACGCAGCGCTACCTGTGGCCGTTTAACCATGAGACTCAATTCGGTACGTTTTCTTCATTCGTACGGCCAATAGTTGGGTCTCCTGGTCTTCATTGATAATACCATACAAATACATGATAACATAATATACCATGATATAAGAGTAATTATTATTTATTATAATATGTGTCTTATCTTTTATACTATAATTACTATTTAGTATAACATTTTACTGCCTACTGTTTTGTATCCACTGACCAATATTTTCCTTTGGCCATTCACGTGTTTTATAATTTATATTACAATATTAATTATCTTGGACTTTTCTTATTTAAAATACTACTGAAAATCCAGATACTTTTTTTTCATTTACATAATAGTATTAAGTTAAATTTTATTTTCTAATAAGTTAATAGTATGTCAAGATTTATGAATGGAGTATTGAATAAAGTGCACAAAAGTGTCGTGAGTGTTGCAATTGGATTAACGGTGATATCCACTGGAGTATTTATGTTAAGATCTTACGAAATTCTATTCGTACCAGTTGACCAAAGAGTTAAAGCTAGACAAGAGGTCAATGAATTGTTAAACAACGAGCAATTGCTGCATAGCGAAGAATAGGTAATTACTAATTGTAGTTAGTCATATTATTATTAAATATTTTTATAAATGAGAATATCTGAAAAAAGCCGCTATTTATTATTATACCTATATTTTTACATATTATTTACTCTAAACATATTATATGAAAATATTATGATTTGGCTATTTTCAAATATTCATTTATTTTATAATCAATATTTATATTTAAAACATGTTATTTTATTGAATAAGTTTCTTTATCTATAGCCTATTTTATTGTGATAAGCTACAGTAGATGATCTATCTTCTGAATAATTTGTGATACATTTGTCAGTATGTTTGTATAATCATTGAGTATATTATATTGTATATTATTTACTCAATACTATAATCTAAAATATATCAATTTACACATAATAATTGTTCTACTAGATTAATATAATATAATATATTATATATTATTATCATGTAATCAGACTTCTCAAGTAGTACAAGTCTTATTTGAAAAATTATATTTAAATAATTGGTAATAATTTACAATATTAACATTTAAAATAGTTAAGTAAAAAAATTATAAGCACTAAGTAAAAAAACTAAGATGTACATGCCTATAATTAAATATTTTAATTTAATACCTAATGAGAAAATTTAAAACATACTTGAACTTATAAACTAGTTTTCAGATTTAACCTCGTACCTACATCTAATAGTTAACTTATTATTATTCATCTTGAGACATGTCTGAAGCATTATCTTCATCTTGATAACTTTTATCATCAGTAGATTGTTGAACAAGTCGTATGCGTTTCAATGGAGGTTGACAAGGTTCTTCATCATTATTACTGTTCTCTACATGCCTTCTAAAAGAAAATTTTTGTAAATACAATTTTTTTTTAATCTGTCAACTTACATCTCTGATATTGAAGGTAGTGGTGGTGGTGGGGGGGACCAGACACTTGGCATGGTTTCCTCATCATGTAATTCTGGTTCTTCAATTTCTAAAATAAGCTATTAATATAGAGGCATCGAAAATACCAAAATAAAATTAGATTTTTTTAATTACCCCTCATAGCAACAGCTCCATCTACTTCTTCAAGATTTTCAGTTTCATCCATACAATTAATATTCCTAATGTATAATAATTTAATTACTAATAATTGAATAATATCTAGAATAAAAATATATATACCCTGTCCTACAAGAGAATGTGCCGGTTCTACGCAACCCCCCATGTCACTCTGCTATCAAACTCAGTTCCTATATGGCAGGGTAAACGCCCAGAAAATACAATTTTGGTTGGACCGCGGCATGGTCTCTTGTTGGACAGATTATAGTATTGTGTTTAACTTACTCTAGTGAATCATCAGGTAAACGAAATGGTACTGCATTCTGGTGTCTCCATTCGTTTCTTGGCGGCTGTTCACCAGTAAACAAATGAAATTCTTGTACGTCATCTATAGCATATATTTTTGTTTTAAATATTAATTTAATATCCACAAGCGTTGTCTCAGTTTTACAAATGTACAATATAACAAATTTTACATTCATAATAATTCATTTTACTCTGTTATTTTAAAATCAAAGCGAATTAACCATTTATAAAATTGTTAAGTCAGATTAATATATACGGCTCCACGTAGGCTTGTTTTTATATTTTAACTTTAAACCAAGTCATGATAATTTTAAAATTTGGAAAAAACGTTCATAACTTATTTTGTAATTAAAATATTAATGATAGAATCTAGTTATGTCTGAGATAACTATCGTACCTTTAAATTTTATAATAGGTCAATTTGCTCTAACCAAAAAAAAAATTAATTAAAGACGGAGACAACACATGCGGGTATGGCACACTCTAATAATAAATTATTTATACCTGTAACATAGTTATTCAATTTCATGCAACTTTCATAAGCTGGTGGTAGATTCCCCATGTTATCTTGTACAGAATTAGACATGCTATTTGAATTTGTATTCCAAACTCCTGCATAATAAATGATAATTTGTTTTATTTTATACTTATTATAAAAATTGTTATGCTTACTTTTATAAAAATAGGTCCACACTAATAAAATTAAAAAAATATTTATTATTAAAAAAAAAATTCCAATATCTTGCCAATATGAATTTGAACTAATTTTTTCTGAAAACAAAATATTTAATTTATTTTTACTGATATACTAATACACAAAAAAAAAAATAAATACCTGGTGTTGGTAATAAAATGTTAGAGGTTATTGACACATTTGGTACGCATAAATCATGAATCTCTCCTCCAAAAAATATTTCTTCAAAATAGCTATTATAAAAATTAATAGTTTGTAACAATAATCATAATGTATTTACTGAAAATTAATATTTAGTATTTACCCATCAAAACAAGAACTGCAGTCTGATATATCTTTTGGACACTCGATACTTTTTTTAGATGTTCTAAAATATATGCTACAATTCATACATTGAGAGCATAAATTTAAACTAATATCACAATAACTATTTTTTTCAAAACAGTCATTGTCTGTAAGACATTCAAAATCATTATTGGTATTAATAGCATCTTCTGGTATTCTTCGAGAAACATTTTCTTGCATTATCTATAGATATAAATAAATACATTGATCAATAATATTGGATAAATAGATTGATAAATTTTATATTATATGGGAATAAAAGGCGGTGTTTGGTCCTCCGGGACATCAGTAATCAAAAGGTTATAAAAGTATTTAAATAATTAATATTCAGTTTTTATAATAAATTAAATTATTATTAAAGTTTAATGAATGTGTAGTCGTATACTATTACATTCTGTGAAGCAAATTTAGTGATTGAACTATAGTTTGTACTTTATAAGCTATCATCTATAATAGTGTTGGGCAAAACAATTCTACGATTAACTGATGTTTTCAGTTTATATTGATTTTATCAATAACTATATGTCATGCATTTTATTAAATATACACTTGTTAAATTTTCCATTACCTCAGGAATAAGATGATTTACTATTGAGTATTGATGTTAAAAATAATAAAATTTCACTATGAAAAAAATAATTAGTGAAATTAATTGTGGATAATGATTATTTACATTGTTATTCATAGTGTATAATTATTAATCTTACTAATTCATTTTTTCATAGTGAAATTATATTATTTTTAACATCAATAGTACATCACCTTAATCTCTAGGAAAATTCAATGAGATTGAGTGAAGTGCATTTAAATGCAGTTTAGATAAAATCCATATATGTATAAATTGTAATCGGTTAATAGTAGAATTTTTTTGACCAACACTGGCTTTATTCACTTACTTATCTAAATAAAAATCATTTAAAAAATATTTTGCATGTATTTGGTACTCGCCATTCGGATAATTTAATTGAAGTTGGATTGAAAAAAAATTTCAATTTATATACACAATATTATATTTCGAAAAGATACTTTTTTTTTAACTATTTATAAAAATATATGCAAACATCGAAAATACTCAATCACGGGCACTATAAATAAACGAGTAAATAAATATAGAATCTCAAAATCGAAAATCGTTCATAGAGTTTTTTCGTTTGCTTAACTCCCTGTAACCTCTATTTCAAGTCCTATAATTTAATATTTTCGAAAAAATACGTATTATTATAAAACTAAAAGCACAATCATAACTTCCTTGTTCCAGTCAGATCATTAGTCAGATCAATCATAATGAACTAATTAAGTAGAAAAATAATAGAAATTATGTAAATATATATAATATATTTTAATTAATAAACATGGTCCGAATGTATATTACGATTTACCTACACACCCCTATCATATAGGCAATAATATTATAACTAGAACAACAGGTTTCAATAATGCAATCAGAAATATCATTAGTAAAACGAAACATTTCATAAAAAAAAAAGAAAATATTCATGGTAAATATAGTAAATACTTTAGTGTATAGAGTATAGAAAGTAAAATATTTTATTTAAACACTTACCAGTATGAAAACTATTAATGAACTTATCAATCCAGTTGAAATGTGTGCCATGTTTAAATTGATTTCTATTAATATCCGTATGATCTTTAAAACAAACAAACACGATACATTATTAAATTATAACTTCAATCATGTTTAATTGTATTGTCGTAAATAATGAATTGACTTACGACGAAATGCTTACGTTTTTAATAGAAATTTATTATTTACATTTAATTAGTCTAGACAATATTTTCCAATTAAATGTGTTCTCAACGATTTAATTTAAATCGAATTTCCAATGCAATCTTATACATATTGTGATTCTCGCGAATCCTATTTTTGAATACAGAAATTAATTTTCCTTACCATATAGGTGCAGTATCTAGGTGACGGGTGAACGTAACTACTATATCGGTGTTAATTAAAAATCTTCGAGGTAGAGTTTTAAAAAAGTACGCTTTTTAACGTTGTCCGGCCGCGGCTCAATAATGAATGCCGATGTATTGCCGGGTTGCTCTGGAGCACTGGACCAAGTTAAAAGAGGATGAGTCATGCAGACCAAGGTCTTGTCGGGGAACCTGTAACGACATGTCTCGTATTGTGAACACACACACACGTAATATAGGTACACGGGGTAGAACTGAAGAAGGAATTATGTTGCGCGCGCTTGTGTGTGTAGTGTGTACGCGTGATGTGATTTGCGAATGACTGAGGTGAACGAACGTCCCTCGACCCACTATGACTAAATTCGTGTAATACTGTTGTGATCTGTTGTTACACAATAATTAATACCTAAACTTTTTTTTTAATGAAATAGACAGTAGTACCTATAGTAGTATAATAATTATTAATTTTTGTACATTTACATTTTAACTTGCCCTTACAGTACGCTTACACAGTTACTCTATCGTATGTTCGTATTAAAATTTTTTTTGAGAGTGTGTAATGTGTGTACCAGAGAATAGTACTATTTAGGTATATTACATAATAATATGCTTTAATTATTATATATTTATATAATTATATGCCTTAAACAATTAACGAACATTTAAATACGAGGAGCCGAGTAGGTCATTCAATTTGCAGAATCATTTAAAAATAAAAAATGGATTAATAATAATATTTAATAATGGTTCTTGAATCTAGGATTAGGTTTTCGATTAAGAGGACGTTTTAAAATTAAAATATAACAAAAAGCCGATGAGATGCCCCAGATAATATTCTTACCTTTAAATTTTATATGGGTCAATTCACTCTAATTTTTAAAATTAAAGGAACTTAACGTGATCTGCTGAGCGTAAAATTTGGTATGTCGTACAAGTGTAAGACGGAGATAACATATGCGGGTGCCACTTGTTGTCTCCGGTAATCGGTCAAAAAGTCCGAGGACAAAAAAATCAATGACACAAGGTACGTTTTTAAAAAAAGTTGGACAATTTTAAGTCCGAGCACATTTTTATTGTCAGACAAAAACTCCGAAAATACAAAATATTATGTTACATTTTAGATTCTGATTGAAACGATGAATGGATTGATTTTACAATGATGTGTGTTTTTTTATTTTTTTTATTTTTTTTGTGCGTGTACACGATAAGTAACCGAAATAATGCTTCGATTTTCAACTTCAGTATCTTGTTCGATTGGAAAGTGAATATCGTTGGTGCGTTGGGGAGGTCAAAATTTAAAATTCAAAGTACTTTTCAAAAGCGCCAAGAAAAACAAAAGAAAAATTAAGGAAAAACGGGAATTTTTACGCAAAATCGATTTTTCAGAAAATTGAATTTGGGATTTAATGTAACTTTAAAACAAATGACCGTAGATACATGAAATTTTCAGTGGTTGTTTATATTTGCATTTTCTATACACGATAACATTTTCAAAATATTTTGATTTATTTTGAATTGTTTAGGGGCATTTTCAGTTTCCAATTTTATTAGTTTTTTTTTTATGAATATCAATAAAAATTTATTTGTTAAGTAAAAATACTTGAAAACTTAATACAAGGCTCCTACTATATTGTTTCAAAGACAGATGAAAAATATTAAAAATCGTTAGTCACAGTTTTTTTTTTAAGCATTTAAAGTTCAAAAAATTACAAAATATGGAAAAATCACGAAAATTTGCAAATTATTTCGAGTTAGAAATTCATAAAAATTTTTCTTTTTAAATCTAAGATATGAAAATGTAATACAAGACTCCTTATAAGTTTTCCTACATTTATCAAAAAAAAAAAAACCCTATAAGAAAGTCAAATTAAATTTTTATGAACGTTTGAAATTCAAATTTTTACAACATTGGATGTTCACTCGATTTCTCATGTAGCGATTTCCTTATTTTGTTGTAATTCAAAAACGAATTACTGTAGATACATGAAAATTTCACTGAATGTTTATATTAGCATTTCCTATACACCATACAATTTTGAAAATATTTTGACTCTTTTTGAGCTGTTTACGGATATTTTCATTTTTTAATTTTTTTAGTTTTTTATTCTATAAATATCAATTAAGTTTTATCTGTTGGGCCAAAAAGTGTAAAAATTTAATACAAGGCTCCTGATAAATTGTTACAATATCAGTTGAAAAATGTTAAAAATACATAGGCACAATTTTTTTTCATAAGCATTTAAACATCGAATTTTGACAAAATTTATCAAAATCTCGAAAATTATCAGTCATTGTAATTATTAAATTATAAAATGTTCAATTTTTATAGCTAAGGATGCAAATTTAAAACAAAGGTTTTCATAAATAGTTCATACTGTAACCAAAAAATCTAAAAAATATATGAACACAGTTATTTTTTACGGACATTTTAAATTCAAATTTGGACGAAATTACATAATAAAAAACCTAGAATAACTATATTTATTTAGTTATTTTATTGTGATTGTATAATATAGTTCGTGGGTACTTGAAATTTCTAAAGTACACTATTATATACCTATCTATGATAATATCAGGGTTTGTTGTTGATGTATAACGCGTTATAAGTACCTAATGGATATTGTGATATGATTAATTTGGAATTTATTATAGGTACCTGTTATAGGTAAAATTTTGGTTTAGTAGCATATATATGTATATAATATGTCTTATACCTAGACTGACATACCGTCTCCGCTCAGAATCGTTTTTCTTATACAATGATATTATATCGTTGAATTCAAATTTAATATCATACATTATACAGTGACCCACTTGTAACCTACTGTACACCAGAGCGACACCCACTTGCCCACCTTTTTTTATTATATAGTTTATTATGTTAATAATTAATAACAATATGTAGGTCATATAATACCTATTACATAGATTTATATATCTTTCTTTTTAAGTCGTATAGGTAGGTCATTGTTTAAGGAAACGTAACTTATTTTAGATTCCGAGTGGAACGATGAATGTATTGATTTTACAATGATGTGTTATATTTTTTATTTTTTTTTATTTTTATGTTTGTCATCACCTTTTAGGACAGTAAAAATGCATAGATTTTTTTCAACAGTATCTTTTCTGATAGGAAAGTGAATCTAGTTGGTACTTTGGGAGGTCCAAAGTAAAAATTTTTCAGTAGTTTTCAAAAGCGCGGTTAAAAACAAATGAAAAATTAAGGAATTTGTACTCAAAATCTATTTTCGAAAAAATAGATTTTTGTTTTGGGTGTAACTCTTAAACAAATAACCTTAGGTAAATGAAATTTATGTAATGGAAAATGAAAAAAATGAAAAATCCATTGTCGCAAAATTTTTTTAAAGCATTTTAAGTTCAAATATTGACAAAATACGTATATGAGCGTTTGAAATTCATTTTTTTACAACATTTGATATTCACTCGAATTTTATAATGTAACGTTTTTCTTATGTCATTGTAATTAAAAAACGTAAGACTGTAGATACTCGGCAATTTCACTATTAGTATTTTCTATACACCATACAACTTGACAACAATTTGACTCATTTTGAGCTGTTTACAATGTCAATTTTCAATTTTTAGTTTCTGAGTGGAACGATGAATGTATTGATTTTACAATGATGTGTGTGTTTTTTTTTATTTTTTCATTTTTTTTTATTTTTTATTTTTGTGTCTGTCATCACCTTTTAGGACAGTCAAAGTTCTTGGATTTTCTTCAACAGTATCTTTTCTGATAGGAAAGTGAATCAAGTTTGTACCTTGGGGGGTCAAAAGTAAAAAATTTCTCAGTAGTTTTCACAAGCGCCGGGAAAAACAACATAAAAATTAAGGAAAAACGGGAATTTTTACGCAAAATCGATTTTGGTTTTTGGTGTAACTCTAAAACAAATGAACGTATATACATGAAATTTTCACTCGTTGTTTATATTTGAATTTTCTATACACAATAACATTTTCAAAATATTTTGATTTATTTTGAACTGTTTAGGGATATTTTCATTTTCCATATTTTTTGATTTTTTTTCTAAAAATATCAATAAAATTTTATTTGTAGGTTGCGAAAGCTTGAAAATTTAATAGCAGGCTCCTAGTATATTGTTTTAAAGGATAAAAAATATTAAAAATCGTTAGTCACAGTTTTTTTTATAAGCATTTAAAGTTCAAAAATTGACAAAATATGGAAAATTCACGAAAATTAGAAAATTATTTTGAGTTAAGAATTCGTAAAAATTTGTAATAGCAGATTCCTAATAAGTTTATCTACCTTTATCAAAAAAAAAAAATTTTATAAGAAAGTCAAATTAAACTTTAATGAGCGTTTGAAATTCAAATTTTTACAACATTGATATTCCTCGATTTCTCATGTAGCAATTTCCTTATTTTGTTGAAATTCAAAAACGAATAACTTTAGATACATGAAAATTTCACTGAATGTTTATATAAGCATTTCCTTTACACCATACAATTTTGAAATATTTTGACTCTTTTTGAGCTGTTTACGGACATTTTCAGTTTCCAATTTCTTTAGTTTTTTATTCTATAAATATCAATAAAGTTTTATCTGTTGGGCCAAAAAGTGTAAGAATTTAATACAAGGTTCCTGATATATTGTTACAATATCAGTTGAAAAATATTAAAAATACACTTCAAAATTTTATTTTATAAGCATTTAAAGATCGAATTTTGACAAAAATTATCAAAATTAATCAAAAATTATCAATTATTGTAATTAATAAATTATAAAATGTTCAGTTTTTATAGCTAAGGATTGCAAATTTAAAACAATGGTTCTCATAAATAATTCATACTGTAACCAAAATATCTAAAAATTATATGAACACAGTTATTTCTTACAGACATTTTAAATTCAAATTTGGACGAAATTACATAATAAAAAACCTAGAATAACTATTTTAGTTATTTTGTTGTGATTGTATAATATTATTCGTGGGTACTTGAAACTTCTAAAGTATACTACTATATATCTACGATAGTATCAGGGTTTGTTGTTGATGTATAACGCGTTATAAGTACCTAATGGATATTGTGATATGGTTAATTTGGAATTTATTATATTTACCTATTATAGGTCAATTTTTAATACCATAAATAAGTATATAATTTGTCTTATACCTAGAGGCTAGAAGGACATATCGTCTCTGCTCAGAATCGTTTTTCTTATATAATGATATAATATCATTGAATTACACCATGTAATACCATCCATTATACAGTGACCCACTTGTAAGCTACTGTACAGCAGAGCGACATCCACTTCCTTCCTTTTTAATTATTATTATTACCTATTGTAGAATGATTGATGTCTGTATTGACTATTTTTCCTTATATATTTTACAACTTACTTTCATATTGACCATTATTTTAAACTTTTATAATATAGAACTTTAATATTTGTAAAAGTGGGTAAAGTATAAGGAACAGTAATCAGATATTATAATATAATATAAATATCGTTAAAGAAAATTAAATACAATTTATATTTTTAATAGTAATATTAATTAATAAATATATATGAAATATAAAAATAATACGTTTATGTGTTATTTTATACATATACCTCATTATAAATAAAAATGTAAAATAATATTTTATATTTTCAGACTTTTTGTCTGACAGTAAAAAATGAGTGGACTTTTTATCCAACTAACAGACTTTTTGTCCATGGATTTATTGTCCTCCGACTTTTCGTCCGGCATTCGTCGTTGTCTCCGTCTTGTCTTTTACACATGGACCTATGACATAGGCAAGATCGTTCACCAGTTTCAACATAGGCGCAAATAGGGGGGGGATTTAAGGGCTAAGCACCCCAAAAATGTCCATAGCCCTCCCCCCCAAACATTTCCTGCATTTTGTTTTAATCTTATTCAATATTATCAAAGTAAGGCTTTAGCCCCCCCCCCTCCAAATCCCAAACACTATTTGCGCCCATGAGTTTCAATAGTGTGCAGTTAGTTTTGATATTATAGTGAATTGTAGATCTATTAAACCTATTGACTTTTTTGAAGCTGTCAATGATCGCTGGTCCATTAAAAGTATTTAGAACACAATACGACAATTAATTTGAAGTTTTCTGGGGTGACGTAAAAACAATATAACAATTTATAACGTATTAAAATATTTGATGATCATCAGAAATACAATAAGTTAGTTAATCAGTGGCGTCATTTGGGGGTGGCCACTGGGGCATTTCCCCCAGTCTAGTATTTACATCAACCTTAAAGGTACGGTTTCCCTGCAGCGTCAGACGCGAGAACAGCATGGCTGGATCAGATGCGGCGTCACGCGACCTACGTCCAGACCGGTAGTGACGCTAGACGCCGCGTCCAGACGCTGCAGGGAAACCGTACCTTAAGTCGGCACATTTACCCCCCCCCACCATCCTTAACCTTTATGGCACTATGCTATGAGAATCTGAATGAACAAAATGATGAGTCGGATAAGCAGTGAAAAGTTGCCCTAGTCTAATAAAAACTGAAATGACGCCTCTGAAGTTAATTATCTAAAATTTACTTAAAATGTAATACAAGATTCCTTATAACATTATCTACTTTTATCAAAAAAAAGAAAATGTTTACAAGAAAGTCAAATTAAATTTTTTAAAGCATAATTATATTCTTATTTTATTATTTCTCCATCGGAAAATTGTATATTTTCTTCTTCAATAAATACTATACTTTGTGTATAAAGGGAAAAAGTGTGTTTGAAATTAGTTTAGATTACCGTGGTCAACCAATATTTGTTATATAATACATTTTTAATACGATCGACATACACATTTTGAAATTTTTCACGTACCACTTGACCTAATAACGTTTTTTTTTTTTTCATTTGTCTAAAAAAAATTTGGTGTATCTACCACGCAATTACAAAGATGGTATACTGATATTTAATGCACAATGCTCAAAGGATAAAACATTTGTAGTTCATACTTCATTGTGAGGCTAAAAATTGGAAAAAAAAATAAGTATGATAAAACTCTTGATATGCTTCCAAGCACGATGTAGAGACTAGAGAAGGTATCATCTTTATATTTCATTGAAACTTGGTGAAGAGGAATCAATATGAGGGACACAGTACACATTTAATGCTTTTTTAAAGTACATTATATTGTATGTCACAAATTTTAATTTTTTTTGTCTAATTATTTTTAATTATATTTTAAAAGAATTAAATTTAAATGCATATAATTTTAAGTTATAAATAACGAGCCGGTTGCGTTGATAATATAATAATTTTAAATAATATATTACCCGTTTATAATAATTTTTTACATTACAATACGACTACATACCTATTTATGATAACTTCGAGTATTATTTATTATATAAATCAAATCCACTTTTACATTCTCATAATATCTATTGTTTAAATATTGCTGTAGAGTAGGTACCTACTACTAACCTACTATAGAGTGACAATAACACTACAGTGTATACGATAAGATAGCCAACAATTATGATTATAAGTTCTGCTGTACAGTAGTCTTTGAGTGGGTTACTATTATGAATGTGTTAAATTTGAATTCAAAGATGTATCATAATATATTACCTATATTATGATATAATATAGGTAATATATGAAATATTGCTATATTTTATTAAAAATGATTACCACCTCACGTTGATTGAATCAATTACGCCTATTACGCAAATAAGTAAATAAATAATGACTCTTCTTAGAAAATAAAAAAATATCAAAGAATTTCGCTCATAATCGTTTTTCATATGCAATAATTTATTAATAAAGTACAATTTAAGAAAACGTCACCTTCGTACTTTCTATGTTGTTTCTTCAGACTCCTCTTTGTCTTATACACACACATAGCATTGCATTATAGTCTCTTATAGAAGAGTTTATTTTCATATTTTTATTTTAAAACAAGTTTGAGTTATGAATTTGAAAAAATGAATTATTTAAATACTTAACTCTTTTGAAAATATATTATTATTTTATGCAAGGGTCGGCAATTAGTTTCTAAATGAGTATCGACACAACTCTACCTGTTCTACAAAAAAAAGAAAGGGTCAGAAAACCTTTTTTTTTTGTTTAGCAGATTATTGTGAGTTTACGTAGACATAAGTATAATGAAGAAAAAAGTCAGCATTTAAGTAAAATATTTATTGCGGTCACCTCCACTATCTGGTTGCGGGCCAAGTGGCTGACCCTTGTTTTACAAATTTGATTATTAGAAAATTTGATGCTTTAATTTTTAACTATAGTTAATAAACTGTATTATTTTCTGGTACATATATTTGCTATGTTTTATGTGTATCGGACAAAGACAACATATGCAGGTACCAGACGTCCTTTTTTTAAAATAATGTTTATTGATATTATATTTTAAATCTATATCTTAGAATTTAGTATAAAATGTACTATAAGGATGTACTATCTGAGGGATGATAAACATTGGCTGGGCGGCGAGGAGGAAGCTATAGTAGTGTAGAGAGTGTACAGTAGGCTACCTGTACATGAATTAAGTAATTTAATAATATAATATAATAATATTGTATTATAATAATTTAGATATCATTGAAAAGATCTTTTGATTAATTTTGTTTGAGGCGCCTGTTTGGATTGTTTTGAAGTACTTTTGAAAGCAGTGGGGTTATAAGTCGGTTTCAATGACATTGCAATTTGGAATAAAGTCTCGAATAGAAAATGCGTGCGGTCTTTTTGTGATAGTATTGACATCGTGTAGAATTATCCTACTATTCCTACACAGACGCTGGAAAAATGTTACTTTTCCAAAAATGTATAAATTGAAATAATCTAAATAGTTTTCTAATTCGGAATATAAAATAAAATATATATAGTGTCATTCAAATATTATAAGTAAAAGCTTAAAAAATGATTACTATAAAAGTAATAAAAAATGTAACTTAACCTAATAAGGATAATTTTTACATGACTTCTCAAGTGAGGATTGGAAATACCTTATTATTCTAGTGAACAGTGGCGTAGCCAGAATTATGAAATGGGGGGTGTTTAAGTATAGATTAAAACCAAGTTTCTACAGTTTTCGTATATAAATAAATTTAGGATTCGGGACTTGACTTGTTGCACTAAAAAATATCAAAATATGCAGTCAACATTTTCAAAATATGCTTAAATATATGCAGCTACATTTTTATATTATTTTTGAAAAATTCATAAAACATATTACAATTTTTGTAATAAAAAACTAAAAAATAAGCTAGTACCTATATATAAACATGATAAAAATAATTTAAACACGGGTATACAAATTTTAATATAGGTATATTGATACCATATAGGATACCATATAGGTACATATTGATTAATGATTAATATGATTGACGGAGGACACTATTGCATGTTTTGGACATTTTTAAACTATTGTGAAATAAAATTTGATTTTTAAAAATGCTGGTATAGAATACTAGGTAATAAATAAGTACCTAATAATGAATAATGTGATATGCGAACACCGTGATAAACGAACACATATCTACTGATTTTCATTTATTCGTACAATTTAGAATCTAGATGTCAATTATAGTTTTAACACAGTCTTGTACTCTTGTCGCAAAGAGACTTATAAATTCTTACGTACCATATGTAAAAATAGAGCCAACCTTAGCCAAGCTCCACCAACAACTTTAACAGGCCTCCCAAACATTTACTACATTTTATAATAGTATGGTTTTAGGCTTCGGCTTCCCCAAATCTCAAAATTAGCACCTATAATTGTACCTAACCAAACATAATATATAACTTAAAGATATTTTTCAATGTTATTCAAATATGATTTTTCCCAACAATTGTATGTAGGTACCTACATTTAAGTTGAAAAAATTCAAAATATGCACAAATATGCGAAAAATCGCTCAAATGTACAATTTTCCTACAATATGCAAAAATCTGCAAATTCAAACTTCGTTTGATAAGACAAATTTATAACTTATCTAAAATAACCTACTACCACTAAAATGAAACATGCAAGCAGTCCCGAACCCTATAAACAATATATTTATTAGGGGGGAAATGTCTATGGGGGGTGTTTAAACACCCAAAACCCCCCCTGGCTACGCCACTGCTAGTGAAGTAGTGTTTCAAAAATCATGATTTGAAATTCCAATCTCCTCCCTGAAATGCAGTTCACATTAGCTGCGTTAGTTTTAATACGGACGGACCTATCATAGTACCATCATACCTGAAGATAATAACATTGACACATTGTATTTTTTTTATATTTAAAGTTTATGAGAGGTTATGAGCATTTTTAAATTGAAATTTTTTCCACATCTTTAACTGTTTAAAAATTTAGAACCTCCAACACAACACAGAGATTAATTTGATAATGGATAAATTTACTCTAATACTGTAACAAACTAAGGTGAACTTGAACTTCTGAAAGGAAATTTACTATTTCAATAATTTAGTGGTTGAACACACTGTCGTGTTTGACCGCAACTTACTGCAGTATATGGCAACTACAGTATGTATTTTAGGTTAGTGTGGTTGGTCTAATTCAAACTGATGTACTTCGATCAAACCAGACAACCGGATGATTTCTATCAATGTAGATATAATTGTATGCGAAACTTGACAGTGTGTTCCCAGTCTTAAAATAAGGATCCACTAACCAACTTCACTACAGTCAACTCTCACAGTAATTTAAACAGTGTTAAATTATTATTTTTCTACTGAAAATAACAATACGATAATATTTTTATTTCTGAAAACTATTTGTGCAGTCTCCCGCAGTACTATTTGTATTTTGTACACATTCTAGTCTAGTTATTACTATCCATGAAAGGTAACAGAAAAAAGTCTCAAATAATAATTTCTCAATTCCAAAAAAAAGTATCAGTGAAAAAAAATCAATATAACTTTAAAATATTAAAAAATATTAACTTAAATACATAAATAAAAATAATCATTCTGTATAATGTTAAGTTGGAAACTTATTACTAAAATTAGATATGCAATAGTCAAATCCAGTCAACAGTCCAATCCGTTCAGAGTCAACAAAAAATTACTAAACTAATTTTTGAAGCATTTTTTAAAACTATAGCTCAAAATTAAGTTTTTTTCACTGAGGGTCGATACTTCTATTCTCAGGTCTTTTTTCATTGAGATTTATATTCCCATCATCACCAATGAATTACAGTAACAAGAGTATCAAGTGCATACAATTTCATATTATACACCGTCAGAGTACCCCAAACATACATATATTTTATTAGAACAAAATGTTAGCATTATGATAGAGTACTAGCGTACAAAAAATAATGTATTCAATACAGATTATTAATATATTTATTTATAAATAATATATAATATAATAGTAAACACAGTTGGAACATAGTGTACCATAAAATCTAGGGTATACGCTATAGGTTTCTATAATTTGTTATAGATCTATTGTAAATAAACTTAAATAGGTAGATTCTTTTATTTTTATTAAGCCGAGTTTGAATGATGATACTTCACAAATAATACTGCTACCAATTCTTTACACAATTCTTCTAAAATCACCGCATTGTTAAATAGTGTTACTTTAGAATTCCTGAAAAAGAAATTGATAAAGATTATCATTGTCTGTTTATTGTACTTAACAATTTTACTTTTCTTTTAATAGTTTGATTGAAGTACTATTTAAAATGCGTTTTCTTGCTTCAATCAACTCTTCATTATAATTTGGGAATGCTAATATTTTCTTATGTAGTTCTTTAAGTACATGACACAATATCATGTACAATGATGGTACATTGCGTTTTAATGGTAATGTTGAATTTAACAAGTATTCATGTAGATAAGGATGAGGTAAAGAACTTAAAAATATTAATATTATTTTTAACTGTAGGGTAGTTGATGAGTTCTAAAAAATATTTAAAATATAAATAGAAAATTACTATACATTTAAAAACATGACATATAGTAATTATATAATAATAATAATAACTTGATTAGGGATGTTGCTGATTTTTTCAAAAATCATACTTAAAAATGGCCCTTCACCAAAATCATATAGTTTAACTGAATCTAATGCTTCAGTAGGCCAATCAAATTTTGTACATTTATCAAAAATATTCTCATAGTTATTCTTCACATCTGTTATGTAATCTTTAAATGTATGGAATTGGTCTGAGTGTAGGTTTTGAGGAATCAATGCTAGGAACCTAAACATTTAAAAAAAATAAAATACAAGACAAATTAATAATTATTTTATGTTTATTTCAATATTAAATTATTAACATACCGGTTAATTATTCTATCAATACTTGAAGGTGCAAGAGTTCGACTAGTGTTAACATTATTTTCATTTGACAGTAATTTTTTTTCTCTTTCGTCTTCTTCGTCGCTCCATGTTCCTGATGTACATCTTTCATAATAGTTTCTATTATTGACAAATCGTAATATTATAAAATCCAAAACTTCTTTATCTGAATCAAGTAATACATCCTTCAATAAAAAGTAAAACAATATTAATTACAATACTGACACAAATTATACTAATAATAATTGATAAATATAAAAAGTACTATAAAAAAATTGAGAATGTTGAAAACAAAAATATCATCTGTATTGGAAGACAATTTTATTAAAATGTCTATTGGCGTTTGTTTATTGTAATAAGAACAATCAAGCTCTGACCGTAACCAATAATTCATTGCTGCAAATAAAATAAATTCTCAAGTAACTATATCAATTAAACTATTAATAAATGCCAATAACATTAAGCTAACAATACCTACTATAATTTAAAGGTGTATGGTCCGCTGCTTTGTAGATTTTTTTTAACAAAAAAATATAAGAAGGCGAAATTTGCTCTGGAGTATCAAATAATTTAATAAAAAATAATAATCTTAATGATTCACACAATGAATAAGATATTTTTAACTGACCATCTCTTATTACCTAAAAATAAAATAATATCGAGTTATTTATCATTTTTAACAATATTGTTACAAGTAAGAAACATACCTCAGTAATAAAATTTAACCAACAAAAAAATTTAGTGACATCGTTTGAATAAGTGGCATTGTAATCGTCCCTATATAAAAATATTGTGACTGTTAAATATTTAAAATGCATTTGGTTTAAATTTGTTCCACAATACACATGAATTATATTTCATATCTTAATAGAAATTATTTTAAATTAATACACATTTCCGCTCACCTCCAATTTAATTCAATTGTTTCTAGTCCATTGTAATCCAATGTAGTTGGTAATGCACAAAACAGATTTCTGAAATGTTCGCTTAATGTTGAACATAGTCTAGTTTTATTAATTATGAAGTCTATCACATTTTCATCATTTAATTTAGTCAGCAGCAGTATACAATTACAACATTTATGGTATACATCTGTATTCTAAGAAAAATTATCTATATTAATAATAATTAACATTATTAAAATACATGTTATAATCTCTTTAAAATATACAAACCTTGGTATTGATATATGTCAATACACAATCCAATAAATTTAATCTGTTAAATGTTCTTGATTCCGTTGATGGTGCCTTAGATTCTTCCAAATGATACATATTGGCTTCCTAATAAATAGTATTTTTTAATTTATTTAAAATAGGAAAAATAGGAAAAATGTATATGTATAATATATATTACATATGAAAAAAACATAATTGAAACATTTTGTTGATCGTTTAATAATGTACACAGCATGAATAAAAAGTGAATCTGATCATGTTGCTGTTTATTATACAAAACACTGTCGCATAAACTAATTAGCCTCTAAAAAAAAAATATAAAATTAATAAGTACAGTTTCTTAAAATAAATCTTGGAACACATATTACTTGAATAGTGACGAAAAAAGACGGATGAGCTAATACTGGATTTCTTAATTGACTGATAAGATTTGTCATATATTTTAATACTAATATCCTAATACCAATTAATTTTTCCTTTTCTGCTATAACTGCTAACATATTAAATAGGTCATTTTTCAATACATATTCCATGCACAAGTTAGTGGCAGTTTCTTCATTTTTGTCTTCACATAGTAATATCTAAAATAATATAATATATATTTGTATATTGTTTTGACATTATATAGAACTTTTCATTTTATCAGGATTATCTTGGGATAAGCACCTCATTTCTATTAACGTTTATCAACATAGACATAGTTATAAGGTATTAGATGATAATAAGTCTCCAACAATACGCCACTGTCTACTTATTTATAATTGTTTAAATAAATTAACGAATCCAGATTTATTTACTGTTTTTCTTACGCAGTATTCTTTAATTTAATTTATTTATATTAATCATTATAATGTAGTCTAACTAATCTTTTAACTGTCTGCCAAGGTAATAATACCTATAAAAAGTTTAAAATGTATAATAGTTTCCAAATACCTGTTGTGGCTTGGAGCGTTGGCTGATTCCAGTCGTGCATTGCCACTGAGAGTAAGTAACACCCACAGCTACTACCTCCCGGATGGATGACCACCCGGGTTCTTAGTAGTTAAAACCTTGCCACACATACACGTGTTTCTTACCTACCGTAACAACACCTTACCCTACGTGTACCCAGGGATGTATTGGAGCGTATACGGGAGTATACGGCGTATACTCATAACAATATTTATAAAGAAATGCGTATACATGAAAAAAATATTCATTTTATAGGTATACGGTGGGTAAATGTCGAGTATACGGTGAATGGTGATAGATGGAAAAGCGTATACTATTTTATTAATTGTTTTTGAAAATTTAAAATTGGATTATAAATTCTGTGGTTTAAAATTCAAAATAATATTTTACGATTGAATATTACTTATCAGGTCGTATACGGTATGCAGTATAATCGAAGATTGTGGTTATTGTTACGGCTGTTATTGATAGTACTATTTACATTCTACAACCGCCGAGGTTACCCGTGGCCGAACGGCGAACGCTCGAAAAACATACAATGTTATCATAAACATAGGCGTAATCTCGGGGGTGCAAAGGGGTGCACTTGCACCCCCTGGAATTGTTGAGGAGGTGCAAAACTATCATTTTGCACCCCCTAAATTTTCTATATTTATAATGAATAATTTTGCCAATTTTTTAAATATTTATAAAATAATGTTAACGTTATTAGACATTATTAGTAACACCTATAAGTTTTATAATCATGAACTTCAAATAGAACTAAAAATCTTTATTAGAATATTCAAATCTAAACAAACTAACTCAAATAATAGTGTATTTTAAAACAAATTAGATTATATAAAACAAGGTGAAATTAAAAATAGGTGTCCTTTATTATCTGAAATTTTAACACTATTTATGACAATACCTATCATACACTATCATCTTGTAAACGAAGTTTTTCCTGATTACGAAGGCTTAAAACTTACCTCAGAACAACTGTGGGACAAGAATGGCTGTCTGATATAGCTATGTTACAACTTACAAATTGATAGAAATCGAGTTATAGATTCTGAAATAAATTGTAATCGACGAGTTCAATGCAGCAGCAACTGTACATGGTAGATGCTTAAGTTTAATTTAATTTTGTTAATTAATATGTATTAATATTATATCAATGTAATAAATTACAGTGTCTACTAATTATTTTAATTTATATAATAAAATGTATTTACTTCATATTATTAATGATAATACTAAATTGTGTATACAATTTTGAATTTTGATCGAGGAACTGGTATTGAAAAAGTAGTAAATAAATGTTCAAGCGGTACCTATTTTGCAATTTTGTAGAAAGTTTGTAACTTTCCTGATTAGTTTTGCACCCCCTGAATTTTAGCGAAATTACGCCTATGATCATAAACAAGCTATAAATAGACTATAGTCTATAGTCTATGAATAATTATATATGTATACATTTAATATGACAATATTTACATATGATACGTATGATAACAGCAAATCTAGTATATTCCGTATTCGTTTAGTGTTATATTTCGTTTTAATTTATTATAAGCTAACCGTAGGTACGTAACTTTAAAGTAAAATGGCTCAAGCTAATTAACGTCCTGCAGCAGTATCGATAGATGATTATTTTAATCCTGTGACTAAAAATGTAATTACAATTTAATATATACAATAATATCCGAAGTCAGTATACCTATTTAATATTTATTAATGTTATTCAATAACCTATAGGCTATAGGTACCTCGTACCTAACATATATGAGTAAAATAAGAGGTCTGCATTCGTTTCTTCTTTTACTATTTTGTAACAGATCAAATATTCATTCGATAAGTATGTTTTATTTCTATGTAAAAAATTTATCGAGCGGAGCGAAAAAATTTTTGGTATAGATATTAACTAAGTATCGAGCGTAGTGAGAAAATTTTATTTGAGATACAATTTAAAAAATATGGCGTATACTCAAGACATTATTTACCAATACATCCCTGCGTGTACCACCCTTACCAACCATAGTTCATAACTTCGACAACAGCTAATGGCCACTATCAACGGGCTTAAGTTCAATAAAAAAAAATACCTGTTGTACGATTTCCAGATGGCCAGGTACATTGGTTTCTTCTATGTGAGTTTGGGAAAATTGTCCATCTGTAGTCCACTCTAAGTAATTAACCATAAATTTTTCCCAATGATAAATGAAATTTTCAAATGCAGGCGTTGGTGGGGCAATCTAAAATACATTTTCATACTAAATATTCAAATTAAATCTTACGAGTGAAGTGTTTTACATTAAACAATAATTGTATTTGAAAATAATAGTTCACTTTCAATAAAACAATTTTTTCACTACTTACTGTGTCTACAACTGAATCTAAAATTGTATTTAATACTGGCATCATGTTTATAAATTTTGTTTTATTTATAATACAATATTTACAATATATATTATTCTAAATATTATTAATTTATGATTATTCTACTACTCATACTAAAGAATAGACGTCTACCATGGACAACACAGTATTCTTATCAATTTGAATACGTTTATATATGATAAGATATTGGTATTTGGTATAAATATTTTGTATTTTGTAGGTTATATACAGTTTACACATAGATAATAATATTATTATATCCATAAACGCATTATATTATAAAGTTAAAAAATTAGCAGATTTAAAAAATTGTCTTTATTGTCCACAGATTTCTATATAGTACTATAGTCAAGGCGGATTGATATATGTATATATAGTATTATATAGAAGTCTGTGATATTATCTGTGGTCTAACACCGTAAACTTTATGATAGATACTATGTTATCTAATATCTAATATCTTAGCTCACGGCACGATTTAAGATAGTACTATCGTGGCTCACAGTAAACAAAATTTGGTTAAAATTTAGAACTATATTAAACTAAATTTAAACCAAAAAGTTAAAGTAATATAATATAAATTATAATAATACCTCTTAATTTAATTGTATATTGTCTAGGTTATAATGCGGTTTTACAAGTATTGTGATTTAGTCAACGCTAATACTAACTATGCAAATCGGATGAAGATGCTCAGCAATCGTATTTTTGGTGAAGTTGTACGGCCAACTAATGAAAAATCTATGAGGGTACTTCTTCCAATACCAATTTCTTAGTATCTAATTATATAATTAATTTGTATATTTTTTAAATATACAGGTAGTGAAAATGTTTAGTGAAGAACCATTATACAAAAAAGAAAATGTTATAAACTACTATCCTCGTCATATAGAGACGGGATTATTAATGAAGAAACTCCGAGAATATGGTTTGTTTAGAGATGAACATCAAGATTTTATTGAAGAAATGAGAAGACTTAAAGCTCTAAGGGGAAAAGTGTTTGTTAAAGGAGAAAAAAAAAGAAAAGCAAAGAGTATTTTATAACATCAGTCATTCAAAGTTGCATTCTTGTACTAAAAATTATCAATATGTTCTTAGAATTGTGTATTTATGTCCAAACAATTTTTCTTAGTAAAGTTTTTGTAGTTATGTGTTAATAAAAATATGATTATGATTAATTCATTTTGTTATATCTCTATATTTTATTTTTTGGTATAACCTACAATTCTACGAGTGACATTTTTCAAAATCTAAACTCATTATTCTTCTCAAAATTAAGAGAACATGGCACTCGCATGTTTTTCCTCTGTCTTACAAGTGCTTAACATACCAAATTGTACTCTCTGCAGATCAAGTTTAGCTCCGTAACTTTAAAAATTACAGTGAATTGACCTCTTATAAAATTTAAAAGTAACATTATTATCCAGGCAATCTCGTGGGCTTTTTATTATATTTTAATTTTAAAGCGAGTTATAAGTATTTTAAGATGTAAAAAACAATTTTGAATTTTAATATACTCATAACTCGCTTCAAAATTAAAATATCATAAGAAGCTCATGATATTGCCTAGATTTATAAGGGGTAAATTCACTAAAATTTTTAATATAACGGTGTTAAACGTAATCTGCTGAGCGTAAAAATTGCTATGTTATACGTTTGTAAGACGAAGACAACACATGCGGGGACCATGTCCTCTTAACACTAGTGACACAACTAAGTAGTAAGGTTGTCACCCTTCCAGCCCTGAATTATTTTTTATTTTCATACAAATTCTGTATATTATATAGTTGTATACTTGTAAATTTGTTTAGCAATTTTAAATATAGTCGTATAATGTACCTATATAGTATATTTAAATATATTATATGAGCCCAAATTTTTTTCCAATATGCATTATCTATAAACAAAAGGTAAACAGTTTAAATTTGCAACATTTAAAGATTTGGGCATGTATTGTTTCTACCAAAATAAGATGTAAAAAAGTTTGGTTTTTATTTCCGCTAAATCATTTTTCTTTCAAAATTATATTTTAAAATCTGAGAACCACTAATCATAAAATCACAAAATTATAATTCCGAAAATAGTATTTTTCACCCACAGTGTGGTACATAATCATTTATTAGAAAATATTAATAGTTTATACAGAACAACAAATAATTGCAAAGCATTTCAACGAACAGATGTACAAATCGCCTCTTAATATTGGTATATTTAAAAAAATTTAATTTCAAGTTTTTAAACTAGTATATAATAAATATTAAATACAGGGTGTCCCGTGACTCGTGAGGATATACCTATTAGCCGTAGAGGGGGACTCGTCGCCCGGACAAAAACCGGTTTTTTGCCGTTTTACTTATTAATTAAAAAATTATTAAAAATAAGGAAATTAATGAAATTAAAATGTTGAAACGTCAATATTTTCAGAAAAATGAACTCTACAAAATGGCAATCTTCAATATTTTTTTAAATAATTAACTAAAAAATAATTTTTTTAACTTTTTTAACAAAACATAAAAAAAAATAAAAAATTAGTTATTTGTAGTTCTTACCTCTGTGAGTCTTAATAAGAAAACAGAATTACGATATCTTTATTATTTCAGGAGATATCGCAATGAGTAAATCCTCACGGGACACCCTGTATACTAAACAGTTCAAATTTAAATATCCAAAGACAAAAAAATAACAATATTCAAAATAAACAGTTTAATTATCAAATCATCTACAATGTTATAAACCCATATTATATTATCAGTAGGCATAGGCTCAAATTGACTAAATTTTTTGGGGACACTCAAGCCCCCCTCCCCCTAGGCCATATTGCTTAGTACCACAGAATATAAAAATTAGTACTAATTACTAGATTTTGAACTGGGTTGACAAAGTCCCCCTATTTGCTCCAATGCCAGTAGGTATGTAATTTTTAAATACTACCAATGTATGCCTAGACTTGGCGGAAACAAATAACTCCTAAGGATTAAATAATAAATTTTTTTTTGCATAACCTAGTAAAAATATTAATTAATACAAAATTTAAACCAGACCACTGGTAGACGGTATTATTTGATAAAAATATTCTCTTTTAACAGATTCTACTAATAAATTAATGTATGCAATTTTAAGGAGCATTTTAAATATTATTGTATGTTGAGTGGTCTTTCCTCTCATAGGTACTAACGAGTAACTAATGTACAGTGGCGTCATTTGGGTGATGGCAAGGTGGTCGTTTGCATTTGCCCCTGTCTGATTGATGGATCCAATGGACCCGATGGACCGGTGCCTGGTTGTTTCCGTTTAATCATTATAAATTATATTCTTATTCTGTGTACTAAGAAATTATTGTTACTGTTACAATGATAAATTGTTAATTAATAAGTAATTGGAATATATTTATATTTAGACACCGAGGGCTCGAGGACATGAAAGTAGCGCGTGTGCTTTTTATGAAAAAAAAAGAAATATTATATTCAATATTGTTCAACTGTTGTACCAATTATCGTTGTATCCATAACCGCACAAACATAACCCAATACCGCACAAAATAAGTACATAGGTAGGTAACCCAATACTGCACGTCTGCACACAAAAATAGGATAATACCTCACAGATTTATAAAAATATACAGCCTAATTCCTCATACAAAAATAGTACCTACCTAAAATACCCCATACATTTATTAAAAACAATACAAATTGAAATGCAAATATATTAGGTACATCGAATTAAATTATTGAAATTTCACAAAATCAAAATACACAATCCAAATAAAAAAAATGTGCTCTGCTGTACAGTAGGTTACAAGTAGGTCACTGTATAATGGATGATATTAAATTTGAATTTAATTATATAATAGCATTGTATAAGAAAAACGATTCTGATCGGAGACGGTCAGTCTAGGTATAAGACATATTATTATTATATACTTATCTATGGTATTAAAAAAAATTGACATATTAATAGGTAGGTAGGTACCTATAATAAATTCCAAATTAATCATATCACAATATCCATTAGATACTTATAACACAGAACAAACACTTTGTTCTGTGCTTATAACGCGTTATACATCAACAACAAACCCTGATACTATATCATAGATAGGTATATAATAGTGTACTTTAGAAATTTCAAGTACCCACGAATAATATTATACAATCACAATAAAACAACTAAATAAATAGTTATTCTAGGTTTTTTATTATGTAATTTCGTCCAAATTTGAACTTAAAAGGACTATAAAAATAAACTGCCCTTCTGAAATTTTTAGATATTTTGGTAACAGAATAAACTGCTTACGTGGAATCTTGTTTTAAATTTTCATTCCTAAGATATAAAAGTTGAACATTTTATAAATTTTTAACTACAAAATAATTATTCAATTTTAAAAATGATAAATTTTGTCAACATTTTATCTTTAAATGCTTATAAAAAAAATTGTGTCAATGTATTTTTAATATTTTTCAACTGATATTGTAGCAATATATCAGGAGCCTTGTATTAAAATATTAAATGTTTACACTTTTTGGCCCAACCGATAAAATTTTACTGATATTTATAGAAAAAAAAACTAAAATAATTGAAAACTGAAAATGTCCGTAAACAGTTAAAAAAGAGTCAAAATATTTTCAAAATTGTATGGTGTATAGGAAATGCTAATATAAACATTCAGTGAAATTTTTTCGTATCTACAGTTAGTCGTATTTGAATTACAACAAAATAAGGAAATCGCTACATGAGAAATCGAGTGAATATCCAATATTGTAAAAATTTGAATTTCAAACGCTCATAAAAATTTAATTTGACTTTCTTATAGACATTTATTTCTTGATAAAGGTAGATAATCTTATAACAAATCTTGTATCACATTTTAAAATCTTAGATTTAAAATGAAAAATTTTTACGAATTCTTAACTCAAAATAATTTGCTAATTTTCGTGATTTTTCCATATAGGTATTGTCAATTTTTGGTCTTCAAATGCTTATAAAAAAAATACTGTGACTAAGGATTTTTAATATTTTTCATCTGCCTTTGAAACAATATACTAGAAGCCCTCTATTAAATTTTCAAGCTTTTTTAACCAACTAAGAAATTTTTATTGATATTCAAAAAAAAAAACTAATAAAATTGGAAACTGAAAATGTCCCTAAACAGTTCAAAATAAATCATAATATTTTGAAAATGTTATTGTGTATAGAAAATGCAAATATAAACAACCAGTGAAAATTTCACTTATCTACGGTCATTTGTTTTAAAGTTACTCCAAAAACCAAAATCGATTTTGTGGAAGACTGATTTTGCGTAAAAATTCCTGTTTTTCCTTAATTTTTCTTTTGTTTTTTTTGGCGCTTTTGAAAATTACTGGAAGTTTTAAATGTTGACTTCCCCAATGCATCAACGATATTCACTGTCCAATCGAACAAGATACTGAAGTTGAAAATCGAAGCATTATTTTGACTAATTAGCGTGTAGACACAAAAAAAAATTAAAGAAAAGCACACATCATTGTAAAATCAATACATTCATCGTTCCACTCAGAATCTAAAAAAAAATTAGAAAAGTTGCCCTGAAAATTGGAAACCTTGAGAAAAACTGGTATTTTTGTATGTACTCTGTTTATTTATAGGATTACCGCATTTGTTACATAATACATATTACTATTATAATTTATAGTAGTAGAAATGTGGCATATAGGTACTTTTTATAAACATATATTTAAAAAAAAAAAACAAATCTTTGGCCGGGCGTCTGTCCTCAAACATTGAGTGCCTACAGGGGTTAAAGTGGGAAAAAATTCCAAAGGGAACTAATGTCTCCATATAATTTAAGCGTTCCATATATATAATATATATAATTTTATGGATAATGTCATCGTTGAATTTTTTTTATAAAAATTTTTTTATTTGTTATAGAATTTTGGAAATTTTTTTAAAATTAAAAAAATCTCAAATTCAACTTTTTTTTAAAAAAATATTTCATCAACTCGTTGTGAATTATGATATTTAGTGATAAGAAATATAGCTTGTTGCCAAAAATTAATTTTCGAAAAATGTTGTTTTTTATAAACATTGCATTTATTATATTATTAGATAATATTTAATTATTTAATTAGTATATACTCTTATCATATTATATTATTGTTATTAACTTTTGACTTTTGAGTCAATACCGACTTACCTCAGTACGATGGAACAGGTCCGTGCAACTTCGTAGTATTATAATAGGCAATAGTATAAAATTAACCTAAATGTTTTGAAAATGTCATTCTGACATTGTGTATATAAAATCCACACGAAAAATGTTTTTGTATTAGGTAAGTACTTACAACAAAATAATTAAAATCGATATGATTCGTTTAAATATCTAATACCGTCCAAATTTGAACTTAAACTGTCTATAAAAAAAACTAAATTAATTTTCCCACCAGAAAGATATTGAAGTTGAAAATCGTAGAGATCTTTTTTTACTATAAACCGTGTCTGTATAATAGACACAAAAAAAACACAGTAAAATCTCGCCCCTCAGAATCTAAAATGATTCTGTACGTATTCTATCCAATAATACGATATTATAAATAGTGATATTAGTACTATACCTACTTAATAAAAAAATCCTATAAATGATAGCTTCATAGGCTGTATTATATAATTGCTTTATAAAAGAAGAAAAAAAGAGGGAGCTAAATTAACTTGTACCACGCCAATGTGTATATAAGCATTTTCATTAGAGCATCGGCCATACGTCTTTTCGGTCATTTTTTAAACTGTTTAAAAATGGATTTCGATAAAATGTTAATAGACTTTGGTGAATATGGCTTGTACCAAAAACGGTTAATCTGGTTGGTCGTTTTACCGTGTGTTTTGCCATGTGGATTTCATGCTTATAATCAACTATTCATGGCTTCCATTCCCGAACATTGGTGTAAAGATGAAGAGTAAGTATAAAATATAATATATATTGTATTCAATAGATTAATTTATGATTAGTATTTTATTGTATAAATAAATTGTATGCTTTACTTTCAGACATATTAATCATACATCTAAAATTAATCAGTGTTTGGATTCAATGAATAACACGTGCAAATACTGGGATTATGATCACAGTCGATATTTATCTACAATTGTGACTGAAGTAAATTTAAATACCTAATCGACTTTTAATTGAAAAACAAATTCTTAGTTTTTAATAAATTGCTGAATGTTGTTACTTGTTAAACAGGAAATTATTAATATAGGTATTATCCAAAATTATAGGCTTTGGCTATAATTGAGATATATATTAGAGCCCTATACTTAGGGATTTTGAGGCTTAGGATATGGGATGTTGGGCCCTTAACTTAAATTATAAATTTAGTTTATTTTTGAAAAGTAGCTTTCATATTTTCAATTTATTTTTTAAGATTATAAATTAATTATACCATATAAGTCTATAAGTAATTATTTAATGTTGATTGATATAAATAGAACGTTCATTACTGTATTACAGTAATATATAGACCCCTAATTATGTAGGGGCCTGGAGCTGCTGCCCACCTAGCCCCCACCCCTCAAGTAGGCTCTGGCCGATATTACTTATTTTCGGATTTAGAATAACACCTACGACCTACCTAATGTTGTTATAACTTATATTAGTACCTACATTGCTACATAAATATTGTACTGTTAATTTTATTCAAATAATTTCTAAGAAATGAGAATTTGAAATTTATGAATTTTATTTTTCCTCATTACAAAATGTATTTTACCTTAGTTAAAACATAGGTAGGTACATTGACATTGTACATATTTTTAAAACCCACTTTATTAATCATTGATGCGCATTAAATTATTTTTGAATAGTACATCCTAATTAAAAGACCCCTCTGCTTAGTGCTTATACATAAACAAAACGTTTTCAAACCTTTTGAGATTTGATCATTACCTACTCTTTTAATGCAATGATTGAAAGATAGATACTACAACAGTAAAACAGAACAACAGTAATAATCATTATATAATGTATAATGTTTACCTACATAAAGTTAATTAAAAAGCGAAAAGTTAAAAAAATTGAGGACCAATACATTATAATATATACTTCCTCCCATAGTACTCGTAGTACCTACACATTTCAGTTATAGTAGGTCATTATAATAATATAATATATTCTATAAATGTATGTATGTACAGTATAGTATATTAGTATAGGTATCTTATAATATAATATGACTATTTATATAACGTATAGGTATATGAATATTTCATTCTGATTCATTATAATCACGTTGTGTTTAAATTGGATCTCTATAATAAAGTAGGTAGTATAAACTCTTATCATTGTTTTTAAACCGTTTTTTTTTTGCAAAATACAAACATCAAATAATATGTTATATCAAATATCAATAACGTATCATACATTCATACCGATTACCGGGTATTGGAGAAAATATTGCATAAACCTAGGAGCCCATAGCCTATAGGAGGTAGGTATAGGTACCTACTTCTATTTAGATTATAGGTAACTACCCCTTCAACGTCATGTAAAAACCAATTAAAAAAGTTCGAATGCCATTATTCAATGTATACTGCTACAAACTGCATCGTAACGTGTATCAGTTAAGTTCATATTTACATAAATGATAAATCTACATTAACATTTAACACATAGATGTGTAGAGATGAAATTAAGTGGGTGCTAAAATATAATGTGAGACTTTTTTCAAAATTATTCTTTTCAAAACTGCCTAATGCGTATAGGTATAAACAGTCCTTTTATAGCCGCACAGGATCAGAAAATAAAAATGTAATATTATAAATAATTATTTAACATTGGCCAGAATACCTAGGTAACTGCAGGGGTGGATCTGAAGCTTGTTTAATGGGGTGGCGAGTAGGAATAGTTTTGAGTGAATAAAGTATGTATTAAGTACAATGAACATTTTATTTCTATATTAATTAATAAATTAACTTATATGCGTTCATATGAGAACATTGAGAACCCAAGTTCAGTTTTAAATACTCTGAACAAACATAAATATGATTAATTAAATAATCTTCGTTACCTACAGTTTTTAAATCTTACTTTTCTAAATATGTAGCAGGTAGGTACACAAAAATATTGAGTTTTAAATTTAAAAGTTTGGCATATATAGTAACAGTTTAGCTTTTAAGCGTTTTTTGGATTTTTTTCTTCAAAATGAGTATTTTGCATAGGTATTTAAATTGAAGGTACTTTCAAATAAAAACGCTCAAACTTAATTTGTAAGTTTTGGTCAAAACATTTTTTTTTTTTATTTTTTAAATTAGTTAATTTTAAGATGTAGATAATATGGTGGTCGCTTTCGATCTTTAATTAAGACATTTTTGAGTCTTTATTTTACGGCATTGGTCGACAGGAGCGCTAAGAAGGCCGATTCTTTTGATAATTCTGCATATCATTATATCGAATGTAGGCTATATAGGTAGCTTACTCCCTAAGTGACTTTACGGAATATTTTATTTCGAAAATGTCGATTCCACTTAATAGAGACACCGGTTAATATAAGGACAACCTCTTAATAGGGACAATACTTCAATTAAGAAAACAAATGTATACTTGTAGAATGTAGGGTAAACGTTCACCGCTTATATCTGGACCACGAATAGGGATAATTGGGACATTTTTATCGAGCACCTATATTAATATAGATCAGTAGTTCAACAATCGCGACCGGCTCGCGTAATTGATTATTAGATTAAATTTTACTTTATGTTCAAATGTGATGTATGTTAATAATGTTATTTGGTGCAATGGTGTATCAGTCGTGTTTGTCACGTGTAGTAACGATGTCTCGTGTACGTAAAGATTTATCGCTTGAGCAAAAATTAGAAATTCTGGACAAAATTAAATTACAGCCACCAGGCTGTAGACTGTAGTACAGGTCGTCTTTCGGAAATTTTAGGAGTACCGAAATCAACAGTTTTTCAAATAAGATAAAATACATGATAAAAAAATAAAAAATATGTATTATGTACTTTATATGTATGTAATTTTATAAATAATTAGGTTATAATATCATGTTTTTCTATTTGTACTATCAAATAATTTCTATAATACATAGTTTGTAATTTTTAATAATAAAAATATACAAAAAAATCAGTTTTTCAACAAATGTATATGTTCGTTTTTGTATTTCGGATTATTGGGACAACAGTGAACCGCTTTATTGGGACAAATAACACGCAACTGATGTGTCCCAATAAAGCGGAATTGACTGTATTATTATGCTCAATGTATTGGTAGAATCAGAATTTCTACACTATATTATCTACATCGTGAAATTAACTAGGTAATTAAAACATTTTTTTTTTTTAAATCCCAAGGGGGGGGGGGGGGTAATCATCACGTCGCTTTCAGCCATAAATCCACCCATGCTAGGTACATACAATTGTTTATTTTTAAATAGTCGATAATTCATGTTCATTCTAAGTACTATGGTTCAACTTTTTTGAATGACACCATATATATAGGTATTTTTTATTTCATATTCCGAAGCAGAATAATACGATGTACCTATATTTAAATCAATAAAGATCGATTTACCTACGTTATTAGATATTAGGTATAAATATATAAGCATTTAAAGTTTAGATGAGCGGGATAATAGACAATATTTTCACTATACCTACTGTGTATCGCTCAACTAAACTTACTCTAAACTTTAAATGCTTATCATAGGCGTGCGCACGGGGTATATGCAGCTTATGCACTTGCATACCCTGAGGGCAGACGTTTGTTTTAAGGGACTCATAAATAGTCTGAGATAACACTGGACTCTCAGTTCCTAAATTCGACTGGTGGTAAATGATATAGCGATATAGCGATATAGCGATAAGTTACAAACTATACTCTGTTCAAAATAAGATCGTGACCCGGCGGCGACCAGTTTTCGTCGGGCGGCGGTCAGACATATGGCCAGATGCCGTCCCCACTACAGCGACGCGTCGGGCGCAGCCACGGAACAAAGCCACGCCCATGCGCACAACTCGGCCGCCGGGTCACGATCTTATTTTGAACAGAGTATAGTATTTACCAGTCAAACCCCATAGTGCTAACAGCCTATGATTTCGTAATTTCATATACTATAATATTTTAAAACCTAAGTGAGCATTTTTTCAACAAAATGTCAAGTAAATTATTTTGTATTTCATTATGGGGCCCCTTAAAAAACTGATCCATGGGCCTTTGGTGTGTCAGGCCGACACTGTTAAACATAATATAACCTGTAAGAATATTATATAAGATATAGTGTAAGAAAATTAAATACAATTTACCCCTACCTCTACAATCATTAGTAATCAAATTCAAATACAAATGTGCACTCCGGAAAATCAGAAAAAATAGGCACTGTCACCGTGTATGTGCCTAAGTGTTATTAACAACCAAGGTTTTAATACCTAATGCAATATTACATTACGAATATAAAACTCACTTACTCGAAATGAAGAATAACTCTAAATTACTTGTATGTTGTTGAGAGCTTTTGTAAATATTTGTCATTTTAATGAACCTATAAGATGTGTATTAATAATAATATGTGATGTTAACACGCGCAAAAATCAAAATCTTATTTTAATCTAGTTTGATGTATACTATACTAATTATTTTCAGTGGGATTTAGTATGTTCAAAACAGTTTTATCCAACTTTTGCCTTAACAATATTTGGTCTTAGTGGTTTATTTGGTATGTTGCTATTTGGATTTATTCAAGATGGGTTAGTATACATTTTTTCTTTATGTAGGTATTCTGTGATATAAAGTCCTTTTCAATTACCATTTATTACATTTAAATTACCTATGTATTTGTACTTAAACTTTAGACTTGGGAGACGACCAGCGTTTTTCATTTATCTATTTATCGAGTGTATATTTGGTATAGCTACTGCATTTGCCAATGATTTTTGGACGTGGTTAATCTTCAGAATCGGAGTAGGATTTACTGTACCAGCAATTTTAGCAACTCCTAATGTGCTCCGTAAGACCAAATAACAAATTTTCAGAAATCTAAATGTTTTACATATCATTATTTAAATATAGCTATAGAATTTGTTGGCCCAGCTCATCGGACTACATGCATTCTACTTACCAACATTGCTCATTCTATAGGTATGGTTATTCTATCATTAGTCTTGTATGCTTTTCGCGATTGGCGTCAACTTGCTTTAGCTACATCTTTACCATTTACTGTTTATTTCCTTTACTGGTGGTAAGTAAAAATACCTAAATATATTTTTATTTTAAATTATAAATGTTTATTAAATTCACAACTGTATATACAATATAATATAATATTATATTAAGTCATACAACATTTTACGTTTAAACATTCCTATGTAGTAAGTATATTAATTAACTAATTGTTTCATAAATTATAGGAGTTTCCCTGAATCCCCAAGATGGCTTTTGGCATGTGGAAAGTTTGAAAAAGCCAAATCAATTTTATTAAAAATGGCAAAAGTAAATGGAAAAGATATTTCTTTGCATTATATGGACCAATTAAAGGTATATTCAGTACCTATATTCGATATTTTTGAAAATAAACATTAAATGTATGTTTTTATAATTTTATGACAATAAGATTAAGTACGAAGAGGAGTTTAATAATCAAAAAAGTAAAACAATCAAGAAATATAACGTATTTCATCTATTCAGGACACCGAATTTACGTTTGAAAACGATAGCAATAACTTTTATATGGTATTTTTTTTTTATCATTAGGTCCCTATAATTAGTTTAACTGTAAATATCTCTATGTATTTTTTACTAAGGTTTGTTAACACTACTGTTTATGTTGGACTTTCTTATTATGCACCAGCTCTAAGTTCTGATGAACATTTAAACTTTTTTTTGGCCGGAGCTGTCGAATTACCCACATATATAGTACTATGGCCTGCAATGGCAAAATTTGGCAGAAAAAGTTTACTGCATATCAGTATGTTGGTTGGAGGGTGTGCTTGTTTAGCTGCTACGTTTCCCATTCTAGGTTTGCAAATAAACAAACTATACCTATACATAGTTACTAATTTATGCGTATGATTTTAGAACTATTTATATTTTATTTAAGTGTTATATGCTATATGTTTTTAGATGATCAGTGGACCTTAATAATGTTTTGTATCGGAAAAATGGGAATTTCGTCGTCTTATGTTATTCTTTCTTTATTTGCTCCAGAATTATATCCAACTGTAGTTAGAGGTTTGGGAATAAGCGTTAGTTCAGTAGCTGGTATGATCGGACCTGTTGGACTTCCTGTCATTAATTATGTGGTGATAATTTATTTAAAAAAATATTATATGTTAAATCAATTGTTAAATGTTGTAAATATCATGTTAATTAGGGAATGGGCTCTCAATTATCACTCATTGTAATGGGCGTCTTGCAAATAATTGGTGCTTTTGTTACACTTATTTTACCAGAAACGAAAAATTGTCATTTGCCACAAACATTGGATGACGGAGAAGAGTACAAGTGACAAGTAAATAATCACATTTCAATTTATTTAAAAAAATAATAATACGTACATTTTCAATTCTTTACGTGGCGTGCCTAATTTACAATTTTATCAAGTTGTATATTCTTTTATATTATATAAAACAGAGCCCTTTTTTTACTTATATAATAAATTATAAATATAATATACTTATACAGTATTCATCGGCTATCACTTATTTCAGTAGTAATTATTGACATCCATCAATAATAGCAATGTACAACCAGGGCCGGACTGGGAGGGTAACCGGTCTACTATTCTAGGTAAGCAGACGGCCCACAATGTATTATTTTGGGAATTTTTTAATTTATTTGTTTCACAAAATTTATATTTGGTAGGATTTAAAGAGGTTAGAGGGAGCACTTTCTTATAACTAGTTTTGTGATGTTATTCATAATCCATGTCCCATGATACTATACAAAATAACTTTACTTTGTACTCTAAAGTACCTACCTATATATGCCTTAAAATAATACGGCCCTTCCTGTAATACATAATTTAAGTTGTATTGTTTATCTCAAATGTAGCCCCTAGCACTTCCGATTCTATGTCTTGTTTACAATTCCTAGAACCCAATCCCTTCAATTCTATATTATCCTCTCTCGTTTTTCATATGTTCATATTAGGTAAATTATAATGGGATATCCCCTCAGGAATGCCCCTGACTTAACCACTTATATTACTTCACTTAAATAGTTAAATATTTATTATAATTGTCAGTGATTAAACAGTTATCTTCCCTTTTTTAATTAAAAGAAAATATGTTGTATAATATATATTGCGCTCTAACACTAATAAATTGTAAATTACAACAATCACCGGTGTCTATGACCGACTGACCGAGTAAAGACCATTTTGGCAACATATTTTACTACGATTTATGGTGTAGGTTAGATTAGGCTACATACACTGATAACTGTCAACGTTCGCCTACTGCGATTAATGATTATGTATTAATATATATTTCAATATTTGTAAAGTAGTCGTAGATACTATCAATAGATGTTGTAACTAATTATAATATGATTATGTGAACTATATGTAATTTCCACTTAGTAAACTGTACGCCTTTGGTAGTTTGGTCTTAACCTATACTTATTGAAATAATTGAATACTTAACATAGATTAGATTAGAAATATAATATGTAATAAAAAAAAGGTGGGTAAGTGGGTGTCGCTTTGCTGTACAGTAGGTTACAAGTGGATCACTGTAATGGATTGTATTAAATTGGAATTCAATGAATAATATCATAGTATGAGAAAAACGCCTGTGATCGCGATATATTGATATTTCTAACTTCTAAGTACCTATATTTGATAATATTTTTGCGTGAATCAAGTCATTTATATATAACATATTTACGTGGAACATTGTTTTAAATTTTCAATCTCTATAGCTATAGTTTAACTTTTTATAAATTATTAACTACAAAATAATTATTAAATTTTAAATTTAATACATTTTGTGAAAATTCTAACTTTAAATGCTTATAAAAAAATTGTGCCTATATGTATTTTTAATACTTTTCAACTGCTATTGTAACAATATAATATCAGGAGCCTTTCATTGAATTTCTATGCCTTTTTACCCAATAAATACAATTTTATTGATATTTATAGAAAAAAAACTAAGAAAATAGAAAACTGACAATGTCCGTAAATAGCTCAAAAAAGTCAAAATTTTATGGTGTAGGTATAGAAAATGAAAATATAAATATTCAGTCAAAGGTCACCTAAGGTCATCTGTTTTAGAGTTGCACCAAAAACCAAAATCGATTTTTTCGAAAACAGATTTTGGGTAAAAATTCCCGTTTTTCTTTTGTTTTTCACGGCACTTTTGAAAACTACTGGAAAAATTTTACTTTTGACTAGATTCACTTTCCTATCAGAAAAGATACTGTCGAAGAAATTCTAAGCACTTTTACTGTCCTAGAAGGCGAAGACAGACAACAAAAAATAAAATTAAAAATCACACATCATTGTAAAATCAATACATTCATCGCTCCGCTCATAATTTATTTCGTCGAAATTTGAACTTAAAATGTCTACAAAATGAAATTGTGCATTTTCATTTATATTTAGGTTTCCTTACAAATAATGTATGAGAAACATTGACAATTTTCTTACATTTTCTAGCCTAGGTGATAAAAATAAAACTATACATTTTTAATTAGAAATTAATTAATGAATTTCCGCGATATGTTGATCAATTTAAATTTGAATGCTTTTCAGAAAAATATGTGTCTGATCTTCGATATTTTTATTTGCCGTTAGAACAATTTACGAGAAAACTGTATTATATTTTCATGGTTTTCTATTCAATAATTCTATTTGAATTCTTAATTCTAATTATTATTTTCATTTATGATCCCAAAAGAACCTTCTTACTATATTCAAATTCAATTATAGCTACGGCTACCACATAACTGTATGAGTACTACCTTCAAAGTTAAAAATCAAAGCATTGTGCATAACTTTAATGCAGAATTTTTAATTATTTTTGTGAACGAATGTTGTGGGCGTTATGGCCGTTCGACAATATAATATTATTAAGAATAATCAAATCTACCACGGGTTCTGTAAAACGACATAGAGTGACATTTCAAGCAATTGAGTTCAAGACGATGTTAATTTGCCTAAGTACAATTTATATTATTAGATTAATTTTAAGCCATTTAGATATAGCCATATAGGTACCATGAACAGAGCCGTGTCAAGCAATTCAGGGCCCCGGGGCAATTCACGCTCCTTAATTCCCTACAATTTACACACAGGTAGCATATTAAGCGCAAATAAAGGCCCCCCCTTTGCCCCCCCCATCAACACGGCTCTGACCATGAACTATTCACGTTTCACACCGATGACCGATAAGTAGGTACCGTTTTACCACGGTACGTCTGCACTGTTGCACTGCAGCAGACAGCAGTGTTTGGAAAATTCACTTAAAAACTGAATTCGTTCACGTTCATTGTAAGCTGCATGTAAATTTAATTCGTTCACGTTCAGTGTTACCTGCTGTGTGTAAATTTAACTCGTTTAAGTTCACATTAATTATTTTTTCAAAGGATCAAGTTCACGTTAACTGAAAAAATGAACTTGTTTTTTTGGACGGTTAAAATTTTTTTATTTAAAAATTAACTACTTTATTATACAGACAGATTTTTTAAATTTTTATTGTGTACATAATAGGTATACACATTAGTACATTACTATACTGTATAGGATTATTATTGCTGTTTGTTTATGAAATGTGCTATCTGTATCTCTAGGCAAATGTTAATTGCCTATTTTTATTATTTCTAATAAAATATAGTACAACTATATGGATCAGTATTTTTTTATTGAGCTTGAGCCCGGCAGCTTAGGCCATTAGCGATCATTATTATTATTATACTATCTATCAAATAAGTACCCACCTACTTAATGATAGGTATTTATTTATTGAACTCTTATTTACTTTTACTTTTTATTTTCTGATTAGTGATAACCTAAACGAGGTAGGTGCAGTTGTATCACAGAATATAATATGAATATATTCTGCAGTTGTATCAAGGTTATTTGTATTCATTATTTTGCCTAATAACAATAACATATTTTATAATTTCATACAATAATAAATAATTATTTTCAGTAGGTACCTAGGTATTTTTATATAATTAGTGGGTAATTATCTATATTGATATAATAGGAATTTTTATTTTACCTGCATAGATTGAGCAGCTGAAATGGCAAGTAAGTACTTTAATGTATTTATGAACATCTATATGAATAATAAATAGGCAAAAGCGATATTTAATAAAAACTAATTGTATGTGTCTCATACTACCTAGATTGTAAAAATCAATGTGGGCCGGGGTACAAAAGTCCCCTAGATGCATATATCAATGGAAAACGAGAAACTATTTTGTACACTATATGCATTCAACCAAATACGTTAACAAAAAACAAAACAGATTATTTGGCCACTATTGATGTGGACCCAAATAGCCCTACATATTCTCAAGTAACAATACATTTTGTGTTGCATCCTAATTTCAAATACATATTGATATTATTTATAAGTACCTGCATTTTGTTACTTACAGGTGATCTTTAGGACAAGCGTAGAAAATGTTGGCGATGAACTACATCATTTTGGATGGAACACTTGTAGTAGTTGTTATGATGATTGTACAAAAAGCCGAAATAAAGTAATTTTGCCTTCTTTAGGATCTGATCGAATTTATGTTTTGGATGTGTCAAACGAAAAATCTCCTAAATTACACAAAGTAATAAAATTAATTACTTAATGTTTAACAGTTAAAATGTCATATTAAAATGCAGATTAGTTAACAATTTATTTACTTCGATTTGATAGACTATTGAACCTAGTGAAGTCCATGCTTTAAATGTATCAACTTTACATACAACTCATTGTTTACCTAATGGTAATGTAATGATTTCAACTATGGGCGATGCTGATGGTAATGGAAAAGGTGATTTCATATTGATAGATGCTGAAGAAGGAGTAGTTAAAGGTAGATCAAGTGTCAATAAAATTGAGTATAATATATTTTAGTAAAATCAAAAATACTATGCCAAACATTTATGTATGTTCCTATAGAGCTGTAGATTAAATTGATTAAACTTTATTTAATTGTATTGACTGTAGGAACATGGACAAAGGGTGACACGGCAAAATTTGGATACGACTTTTGGTACCAGCCATACTGGGATGTTTTAGTATCATCCGAATGGGGAACACCCAAAGATTTCAAAACTGGTTTTCATGCTGATCATATTAACAACATTGGTATTTACAATGTTTATTTAATTAAAACAAAGTTATAATTTTAAATGTTTATAAAATAGAGAAATATGGACGGTCCATCAACTTTTATTCTTGGTCTGAGAGAAAATTATTGCAGACAATTGATTTGGGTACAGATGGCATAGCTCCTTTAGAAATACGATTCTTACACAATCCTAAAGCATCTGAAGGATTTGTTGGCTGTGCAGTGAATAGTACCATTTTTAGGTATTAATACAATTAAATGTGTTATCTCTCATATGCAGTATACTGCCGTTTTGAGAACTACCTGTCCTACCTAAAGTGTGAGGTCTACCAATGTGTTGTGTTCATAAGTGTTATAAATGTTATAAAATAAATGCTATTTTAATGCCTATAGTCTATAGTTAGGTACCTAACAACAGTTAAGTTTGTTTAGTGTCGATTGTCGTATGTTATAGTGAGTTACGTAGGTATTACAACAAATATAGTAGATTATAAATTATAATCATCCTTTTAAAATTATAGTAAAATATATGTTTACTGTAAAGTATGTTTTTAATTAAAGAATTTACAGTTAAAGTACAGCTATCAATAATAATTAGTAATTACCTATATAAATGTTTTCATTTTTTTAATCTATAGAAACATAGTATTTTTATTTTATTTATTCCATGTAAAATCAATGAATTTAATAGAATTTATATTGTAAGCAGCATACAATATTTTTATTATCATTAGAATAGACAACAGATCATGGGTTAGGTATAGGATCATAGGTATACAGTATATTGGGAGATAAAAGTCAATAAATATTTACAGTTTACATTACATCAGGATAAATATATATATAAGTAATACAATCTTATAAATTAAAAATTTTTAAAGATTTTTTCGGACTGACAATGGTACTTGGGAATCTGAAAAAGTGATATCCGTTCCTAAGAAAACTGTAAAGGATACTAATGGATTAAATGAAATTTCAGGTATAATATTTTATTGATTATGAAATAATTAAATAAAGTTTAAAAATATTTGTTTATAATTTTAGGCATGATCACAGATATTTTGATATCATTGGATGATAAATATCTATATTTTTCTAATTGGTTGCACGGAGATGTCAGGCAATATGATATAACAAACACCAGCAAACCTAAACTAGTTGGCCAAATATTTTTAGGTGGATTATTGTTGAAAGATGGATTATTAACTGTTGTTAAAGACTCTGAGCTTAAAGTAGATATCTTTTGTATTTCTAACAATACCAAGGATATAATAAGTAGGTAAATATATTTACTAATTTAAAGGAACAACCAGAACCTGTATATATCAAAGAAAGACGTTTATTTGGTTCACCTCAAATGCTCCAGTTAAGCTTAGATGGGAAAAGGCTATATGTAACAACTTCTTTATTTACACCATGGGATAAACAGTTCTATCCAGAATCTGTGAAGTAAGTTTATTATAAATTCTCCGGTAAAAATATAATGTGTCTTAGAATCTTATTATCAATGTCCCTGTAACTTTGAAGAAGTAGAATAAAAGGCTTCCATCAAATTTTAATTAGAAGTCTGCCTCTGCATAACTTGGTATTGATTTAAGCAGTTACAATTATCACAGTTTCATATTTTTCTACTAAAAGTAATGAGTCAATGTAATGATTCAGAGTGATGAAATTTAAACATTTGACTGTAATATAATTAAGTAATTACCTATTTACATATGTAAGTAATCTATCTAAAATTAAATATTTATTATTATATAAACTGATAAAGAGACTATAATATTATAAACTGTGATTTACTGAGTGATATATTATTATTTTAAATTCTGTTCAGGTTAATTTATTATCCTGATTTTAGGTTATATTACATCATTTAGCTACATAAATTACCTACTTCTTTATAGATCATGGAGATATGTAGAATAATCTTATTCATAATAGGATTAAAATAAATATACTTACAATTCAAAACATTAAAATGAAATAATTACAGACATGGATCTACATTAGTCAAACTTGATGTGGATACTATTAATGGAGGCTTATCCCTGGATCAGGACTTTTTAGTAGATTTTGGCAAAGAACCCGATGGGCCTATCATGGCACATGAAACAAGGTAAATATTGTATTATTGAACAATAACGAACAAATTAAATTAAATTAATGTCACAACTGTTGAATGACAATTTAATATTTTAATGATAATGATAGGTAACCAATTTATACAATAAAATCAAATACTCTAAACTGAATAGGTGGATTTTTTGACAAATAATAATTAATAGAATATTTTACTTTAATATAATTACCATTAATTTTTTTCTTTTTATTAAATATAGTAGCTTATTGTATGCTTCTATAATCTTATTAACTTCTGAGCATTTATCTATCAATGCTGTTTAAATTGTATGGCACCTCTAAGAATAAAAAGGAAAAAACTAATTTTTTCTAAAATAGAGACGTACAAATGGACAATAGTATTTTTTTAAACTTGGTTATATTCAAAGAGTAAAGTCATTTTTAAATTTCCATAATATTTATACATTGTTTAACAAAAATTATTAATTATTTATAATATTCATATCATATTATGTAACAATAAATAAGTAAACCTGTTGATAATATATCTTAACTGTAGTAGTATTGCACTACATCACTACTTAAATTCAGTGGCATATTTAGGTTTTTGTCTTTGTTTTATCCAGTAGCCCTGCCTTTAAAATTAGAGGCCTTAAGTTAAGACTCTGAAAACTTTTGCATATTATGTACAGCCTATGGAGAGGGATGATCCATTGACCCGACCTGACCCCCCTCCCTGTAAATACCCCACTGCTTTAATTTAACTATAAAACCATAATCTATTCACAATTGGTAATTTATTTACTAGACGCTTCTTTAATGCAATTTTGAAAACTATATTGTATTATGACGTTTTATTTTCTATAGGTATCCAGGAGGCGATTGTACTTCAGACATTTGGTTGGCTGAAGATTAGAAAGTAAAATAATATTTCAACTAGTGATGGGCACTACTGAATAATGTCTATCGACATATCATTAACATCTTCCATATTAGATATATTATTATCAAAAATTAATTTACCAAATAATGTTACTCACGCATAATAAAATATTTTATATACCATTTTATTTGTGTACAACTATACATTATTTATGTTTACATAATGCATCTTTAGTGCCTTGTGGCAGGCAGAATGTTTCTTGCAGAACCCACCTTGCTATGGCTGCACTGGTATCCCTGGAAAACCCTTCATACAACTGTTCCTTTTCTTGAAGTTACCTCTTTCCCATTACATAATTTAAGCATTCCATCCAGTTCATAAGTGTTTTTCTTTGATGTCATCTTCTTCATTATTAGAACATTAGAGTAATACATTATAAATCTTCTTCTGTTTTTATTTTGGTTATTTCAGAATTTGGAAGATTAGATGACTCAAAACCTATTCTAGCAGTGCATCCAAACATTGCTTCATAGGGAGATGTGCCTATCCCTAATAAATAAAAATATACATTTAAAAAATAATAATAATAAAAAAAAAAAGTTAAATAGTTACCTGAGTGAAAAGTCCGATTTTTTTTAAACTGAATGAATTTTAACGCCGATGGCCAATCCAAACTATCTCTTTTGGTCATCCAAGCAGATAACATTTCTTGCACATCCCTATTAGTTCGTTCAACGGATTCCTGGCTTTCACAATGCTTAGGCCATCCATAATCAATTTTTACTTCATCCCATATGACATGAAGTTTATTAATTATTGAAGTTACAAATTTCTTTCCACTGCATGATTGTAATACTGTAGGAGCCCCAAATAATGTATAGATATCAATTAAATTATAAGCGATTTCTTCAGCACATTTTGATTTCAGCGGTTTCAACACTATGTATTTAGTCAAATGTTCTTGATAGTTCATTATGAATCTATAATCATTATGACGTCGAGACTGCATATCTATTAAATCAACTTGAGCCCGAGAGTTGAAAGTAGGCTGTAAAATTGGTTTAGGTGCTAATCCTATTTTTGAACACACTGTTTTTTTATGACATTCAGCACATAATTTTAAAAATACCATAATTGTTTCATTAGTTATATTGCAATAATTATTTTTAAGTTCAGACACCATACGATTTCGTCCACCATGACCTATTGCAGAATGTGTATCGTAAAGAATATCAAATAATTCATCAATCGTTGCATAGTACAATACTACATTTTTTTCATCGATAGGTCTAATCAAGTGTTCTTTGCCGTTCATTACTAAAATATCATACTTACGTATTACACGATAGTCTTTTGTTGTTTTCTTTTCACCAACAGTGTTTAAAGATTTTTTTGATTTTTTCACCTGTTGAATAACTCTACTGTAATCACTGGTTGACAAAAAAGCGTTATTATCCTCCCGTTTATTCATTAAAATTAATTGTATTTGCTCGTTAAAATTTGAGCGCATGGTATTTTTGTCTATGGCCATGGTTATAAAGTGGACACCTACACTACTACTAAACGTCGGAACACAGCACAGTACCGAACTATAAACTACAGTAATATAATTTTCACGTCGCGTAGAAACTTAAAATCCGAATGTAATGCACAGTATTATCTGTCAATTTGTCACAGATCTTTTCGAAATTCACTATACAAAATAAATTATAGTTTTCCAACTAAAGTTAGTTAAGCAGTAAGCACTGAACGTCTATACTACTAAAGACTTTACTGTAAAAGTTTAAACTGTGATGCCGCGTTGCCGTTCAACCATAGATAATAGAAGAATGGGTAGGCCATGGGCCATGCAACCTTATCACACGGGAATTAATTGGAAAATTATTTGAGGTTACAAGAGGCACAGATTAAATGAAAATCATTTTTTTTAAGAGGTATAATTGATTATAGATAGATGAGAATTTAATGTTTACAACGTCATGAAGAGAATATGCCCGTAAACAACTTGAAAAGTCGAAAAGGGTCAATTAATTATTTTGAAAATTGTATCAAGTATAGCAAATGAAAAAATAAACATAATATGGTGTAAATGACAAGTGTCTGTGGATATTCTTTTTTGAATTATAATAAAATATGAAAATCACCACAAAAAAATCGAGTGTGTTCGAACCACATATATAGATAAATTATCAATTATCATCTATATTTAGACACCTTCGGTGCTCTTTGAACGGAACAAGAGTTATTAGAGTTATACCAAAAACCAAAATCGATTTTGTTGAAAACCTCAATGCACCAAGCCACCAACTAAATTCATTTTTCCATCGAACAAGACAGTGAAACTGTATTCCTTTGACCCGATAGACATGACCTATAGACAATAGACATGACCTTGACTCAACTTCAATGATCATTTTTTTCTTAATAAAATATTTTTATAATATTGTTTAGCGCCTTTCACAAATACAATTTAAATTAAATAAATCAGCACCGCATGCTGAATACCGGACCGCACGGACGGTTTAATTTGAAATATTGTTATTTTCATTTGTGTTCGGTTTTGGCAATAAGAAATTTCCTCAGCATGTTGAGGTAAGCCGCTGAAATTTCTTTTTCCGTTTTCGTTTTTAACCCTGCCGCATCCGGAATCACCGTATTCGATGTGTGCGAAAAAAAACGCATCGTGTGGGCAGACCCAATATAACTTAAACATAAACGACATGCCTATAAGTACTTATAACATAACCTAACCTATCAGTATGATATTAGATACCGATACCAGTCAAAATATGATTGTGATATTTGAATAGACTGAGGGTGTGGGGGGCCTTAAACACACATCCGAGTTAATAAACACTGAAGTTGAGCCTATGGTACCAGCTATATTTTTAGATTCTGAGACAAGCGATTTTTTATTTTTGTGTCCGTCGTCACCGTTTGGGGCAATACCATTTTATTAACAGTAAATATTTTCGTATTTATTTATTTTTATTTTTAATATATTATTATTGATTCGCCTAATAAACAACCCCTGAAAAAATAACCCCGAAAAAAGAACACTAAAAAAATAACTCTATAATAAAAATGATTTGTAAGGTGTAACGTAACCTAGTAATACATTTGATATACAATGTCAATAATATATAAATAAAAAATATTCACCATGTGCAATACAGTACAATTTCAATAACATAATAATAATTAAAAACAAATTGTCAACTTTTTAACCACGGTAAGAACGTATGGATGTCAATAATATATAAATAAAAAATATTCCCCATGTGTAATACAATACAATTTTAATAATATTAAATATAATAATAATTATATACTGGTAACTGATAATATATTTGCATAGGTTATGAACTTATGACTTATGATACATGATTAAAGATAATTAATCTATATATATATATATAACTGAAATCAAGCAAAAGAGGAAATCTTTGTTACGGTTTGGCTTCGAAACTTCTTATCCAATTGTCATGCAGTTTTTTTTAAATGAAAGAGGATATCACGGAGCAGGTTTTAGGCATAAATAAAGTCCGATAATGTTAGTCAATAATTAGTTATCTATACATATAAAATCCAAATACCACTGACTCACTGATCGCTGTATCTCAAAAACTACTCAACGTACGGACTTGAAATTTGGAATAGAGGTTCTTCTCATATTTTCACCGTGCAATAAGAAAGGATTTTCAAAAATGTTGCGTTTTAGTGGAGTAATTAACGATTAGGGCCGGGCCACACATAGCGGTTGAACCGCAGCGGTTGAACCGCCCAACAAATTCAGATTGTTTGATTTTAAATGCAACCGCCTGATATGCGTTCACACTTACGCGGTTCAGCCGCGGAAACTGCCGCGGTCGAAAAATCGACCGCAACATGTCGCGGTTCAACCGCTATGTGTGGCCCGGGCGCCCGGCCCTAATTATTCACTGTCAATGCCCAATACGTATTGTGCGGCACGGCGGCCCGCGGGTTTCCAGCTACCTGCCTACCTGTAACCTATCCTTTTTGTTCGTCGTCGTCGTCGTGTAGATAAGAATAATATGATTCCGAGAATAAAATTGTTCCGAGAAGTTTATCGATAAAAATAATCTCTTGCATCGCGCATTATTGTAATACAACAGTAGGTGGGAATGTGGGATTAAGTAAAATCTACAAACTTGGTATAACTTTGATACTCAAGAGTTAAATCATACACTTCCGTACAAACAGCACGGGGTCCGCGATCTACCGCAGGTAAATTGCCTACCTGATAAAGTACTGCCGCGATTCAGAATTTTTATTCCGGGCAACGGAAAAGATAAGATACGAAAATGTTGAACACCATACACCGAATATTGAATAACGAATTGAACAAAGTTTGAGTCATATTGAGTTGATACATTTAACGGGCGACGAAGTGCACGGGATCAGGTAGTTAAATATAAATAGTAATAAAACATAGGTCATAGGTGTTATATTAATAATTATTAAATCTATTGTAGGTAAGAAAAATTATGATTTGATCACGTGCATTTTGATAAAAATGCAGAAATGCATGATGATGCGTCCAGTGCGTTCTCCTTAAAAATAAAAGTAGAGGTACCTACGCTAAAATTTCTGAAAAATTAGTTGGGGTATTCCGTCCCCCTGCCCTCCCCCCAAGACGAGCACTGCAGATAATAAATAAATAATTGTATTAATTGTCAATATTCATAGTACGTACCTTCTATTTTTAAATCTTTTAGATTTTCAGGTACTATTGGAAAACTTTGATTCTGAATGGTTTTTTTAATAGATTTTTCTTTCAGTAGTTTTTCAAGAATACTTTCCGAAAAACCCGTCACAGCTTTGGAAAATAACTGTGCTGGAGACTGGAGTAGACTTCGTTGTTTTAGCCCATTTTTTCATTTTGATTTTAATTTTTGAGGCATCTATTTCATTTTGACACAAATGATGATTATGTTCATGATCTATTTTTAAAACGCACGGACATTTGTGACTATTTTTTTTGAGGCATTTCCACCTTATAAAATTTAAGCACTCTTTGTGTACAACATACATAAACTTTTTAAAATTCAAATGCCAATTTTTGTTTTCCCTTCTGGCTCTCGAAAATATCTAGACTATCCATAACTATTCAAACAAATTATAACAAATGCACAGCGAAATATATAATATACGAAAGCACAAGTCACAACACTGTACCTAGTACCGAATACTGAGAAATGAACACACACAGCTAGGACTTGACAAATTTTATAAATTACAGCTTCTGTAATATTAATATATTATTAAGAGGACGCCACACCCGCATGTGGTGTCTCCGTCTTACAAATGTACAACATAGCAAAAACTCTTTTGCGAGGGACAACTTTTCTCGCACCATATTTGTTGTAGAACTACCAAATTTTCACAGCACTTAAAGAAGAACTTTATCTGTGCAACAGCGTGCTCTTTTTTTCAATAGCACCATCCAATCATTTTTTATAAGCAAATTAAAAACCAAATGTTTAGAAGCAAATAACTTGTATTGTATATATGTTATTGAATAAAAGAGCAAGCTGTTGCACAGATAAAGTTCTTCTTTAAGTGCCGTGCAAATTTGGTAGTTCTACAACAAATATGGTGCGAGAAAAGTTGTCCCTCGCAAAAGAGTTTTTGCTATGTTGTACATTTGTAAGACGGAGACAACACATGCATGTGTTGTCTCCGTCTTACAAACGCGTAACATAGCAAATTACGTCCACGGAAAACAAACGAATCGGCATCAAAAAGTGGTTTTAGAGTAAAAATACCTATAATAAAACTTAAAGAGAACAATATTTCGGAGGGAACCTCATCGGGGTTTTGTATTAATCTAAATACACAGCTAGATATTGAAGGCACAAAAACTCTTTTTTTTTAATTTTTTTAAATAACCACAACTTTTTTAATAGTTAATATTTTTAAAAACTCCGATGAGGTTCCCTCCAAAATATTGTTCTCTTTAAGTTTTATTATAGGTATTTTTACTCTAAAACCACTTTTTGATGCCGATTCGTTTGTTTTCCGTGGACGTAATTTGCTATGTTACGCGTTTGTAAGACGGAGACAACACATGCGGGTGTGGCGTCCTCTTAATGATAAAGTTATAGGTATCTTTCTTATCCATTATAATGGTTTTCCTAATAAATAACCCCGCATTGCCGCTGTATCTATTTTTTTTTTATAGTTATTAATTATTATATTATATCTGTTCGATATGTCAGACAGACTGGCACCGTGTTCTGAAACGTTTTTATCGTACGTACAATAATTTATCATTGAATCTAAAATTAACGTTATTTGTGGGAACATAACAATTGAATAGGTAATAGGTATGTTATACATTTTGTAATTTTTTTTTCTCAATGACATAATAGTAATATGATAATACCAATATTTAGATTAATTTGCAAAATCTCATATAGGGTTCTTTTTTTTGTGATACTATTATTATTATAGTATTTTAATCATTTCTTGGCCATTTTCACATGTACATATTTGTTATTTAAATAATGCTTTTGAACTGTAGAAATAGGATTCCGGCATTCGTATCGGGTACTTGGGGGCTGGGGGTTAACAAATCCTTAAAATTAATTTCAAGGATAATAATAATTATAGGAAACGATATGACTGGCCTAGGTGGAGAGTGGGAGAAATCCACCGGGGCCGCTGTCGTGAGAGGCACCTTCGTTATGGACTTATGGTGCACTTTTAATAAAAATATATTATATTATAATTTTATATTCGATTTCTAAATTAACAATAATAGATAATAATTAATAACACACAAAATACACAATCCTGGGGCACGAATATTTCTACATAGCTTATCAGCATATAATGAAAATAATTTTCCCTGACCCGTGAGACGCACCCCACCATAATATTATTAAAACAAATCATGACCTGTAATTAGAAATAACGAAATCCCGTAGGCCGCCGCCTGCCGTCGTCCGACAACTGACCGTCGACCAATATTGTTTTGCTTATATAATTTATACTGTATTACTTATCTTTATCGTCAATACTGGTTATTCGTTATTTAATTGAAAACATTGAACGACTGAATAGAGAGCAAGTGAAGTTAACAATAAAAAAAATGCGTACCTATGTGTAACTTGTGTAGTTGACAGTTGTGTATATATATTATGCATCAAATGTTGAATTTATAAATTTAAATTTAAAGTACCTAATACATTTTTGTCTCAGTAATATCTAAATATAGATGTAAAGAAATTACATAAAAGATTTTAAAAATTATATTATGAATTATATATTATTTATTCCTAGAATATATTGGCGGTGCTAAACACCCTTAGCACCCGCACCCCCAACATTTTAGCCTATGATAAGTGAGCTGCAAATTTTTTGATCATACAACAATTGTGGGCCGCTCAAATCTTCTCCACCCGGGCCGAAGTACTCTCAGTCCGCCCCTGCAAATATACCTACTGTGATATTTGATCGGTATATCGGTTTATTATATTATTGATTATTAGGTACCTCATACTTCATAGTAATGGTATGTATTTTCCGTCGAATTATCTTATATTTGTACAATGTATTATTGTTATATAAACTTATATGGTTGGCGGAGCTATAGCAAACCTGAGTGGCGGTCGGCGGGGCTTTAAAGTTTTCACTCGCTGTGGCGGGAATATAACAAACCAGTACCATAATTAAAATAAAAAAAATATCAACACCCAAAATATATGGTAAAAGTAACAATTGTATTAAACAGTTAAAAATAAGTCAAATATATAAAAAAATAAATAAAAAAAATAATTAAAAATCCTAATCTGAATAAGATGTGAACTAGACAGGATTTAAATTTTCCATGACTTCCTCGACGACAAAGTCGATGTCCCAGAATCTTTGCTCTTCGTCAATTACATGACTGACGAAGTGTTTCCATTTTTCGGGGCCGCATGCACTGACAGCTTCAATGACGAGCTTTTTGACATCGGGTAGCTTAAATGTGGAATTATTCATTTTGATATAATTTTTGACAGACGACCATGCTAGCTCTATTGGATTTAGTTCGCTGTGATGAGGCGGTAAACGTAATACGGCCATATTTTTGGATTTTATATACTCGTCTATGACGTATTTGTCAAACTGCGGTTTAATCTGATTAACAATGTCCATTAGAGCAACTTTGTTAAGTGGCTTTTGTTCCTCGCCTTTTTGTTCCAGCCAACTTTCAATTTCTTCTTTATTCCAACTCATTGTTGGACAACGTTCGACTTTTACTGAATGATAAGGTGCATTATCCATCACTATGATACTGTTGTCTTTTAACAATGGAATGACACCTTTAATCCAATCAAAAAATGAATCCCCGTTTATTTCGTTATGATAGTCAGCTGATCCTTTTTTCGATTCAAATACCAGTAGACCACCATTGACGAATCCTTCTTCTGACCCAATATGGACTATAATGAGTCGTTTTGCTTTGCCTGTTGGGTTGTCAACCGACATTTTTTTCATACTATCACCAATATTTATCGACGTTTCATCTAAATAATATATTGTCCTTCCTTCTTGGCGATATTTTCGGATATCTTGTATATAATTAGTTCGCCACAATACAATGTCGTCCCGTTCAACGAGAGCGCTATTAAGGCTTCTTTTACAATGTGTAAAATTTAGCTCACGTAATAAATTATATAGGTTAGTTCTCTTGTATGTGTTTAATGTTGGGTCACTATTCACGGATATTAAAATTTTGTCCAAGGTGGGTACCTGACGGCTAAACCAAAAATCGTGTACCTTTCTACGTATAGAATTTCGTTCAAAATCATCGATTTTGTCTTTAAACGTCAGTCTGACCTTCTTTCTGTTCGGTGATTGTATTGGTTTTGCGTTCTTGTAGTCAGATATTGTCGTTTGGATCGTTTTCTGGCCAATACCCGTTTCTTTCGACAGCAATTTCACCATTGCCTTAACATTAATAGATGGTTGTTCGGAAATTTTGTATTTATATAAGCTTATTATAATCTCTTTTTGTCGCCTTCCAATAAACTGAAATTAAAATAATAAGCAAACAATTCAGTTTGATTTTTAATTTTGAAAATTGAATTACGGTCAACACTTACCTTCCCGCATGGGTTCTTTTTAACTGATGTAAGTGGAGAACCAGCATCAGACGTAGATGGTGCGTCAGTGTTCCTCATTGCAAAAAATTCAAAACAAACCGCGGTTAAAAAATCGTTTCTATACGTGATAAAACAATGGTCAACGGTCGAGAAACGAATCTCCGAGCTACGGACTGTCGGGCACGGTGGCGGCGATTTCTACACACTACGGCTATAGATAGTAATATAAATTGTATAATGATCTTAAGATGTAACTAATTAACCAATAACCACGAGCCCCTAAGGCCGAAAGTTCGTGGACATGGACGCACGGTCTTCTAACTTTTAAGTCCGTGACCGTGATAATGGTTGCGCAACTAACTATGATAAAAAACAATTTACAGCAAGTTGCTGATATCACGATCTAGTAATTCAGTAATCAGTACTTGATAAGATAAAACTAAAATGGTTTTTGTTTACAACAAATAACAATCGATTTGGTATTTCGGTGTATTAGTATACTTATACTATAGTATACTACTTTTCAACTCTAAAGTCTATGATTCATTGCTTAGGATTTTATACTAAGAACTAAGAAGTAGGTAATGTAAAATTATTAATGAATGTTGATTCAACTTGTGTTTAATTGAGTCTTCAATGTTTTAGACAAGATGGAAAAGTTTTTTGCTTACCAAAAAGATGGTAGAGTACCGTGCAAATATGGGAGAAAATGTTTCCAAACAAATAAAGAACATACGGATAAATATAAACATCCACCAACCAAAGTAAAATATTTTTTTAATTAATTTATTGTGTATATAGTTAGTATTTATAATGAATCTAGGGTTTCCTCATTGTGACTTTTCCCAGAGAAACATCCAAATATAATTTTTTAATGGGTTTTATGTTTGTAGGATGATATTAAAGTGGACACTAAAAAAATTACAAGAAAAAGAGACTCAAAAGGAAAAGTTAAATTATCCAACCAAACTAATGGAGAATCATCAAACGGCGATCATAGAACTAATGAAGAAAGTCACAATAGTGGTGGTATGTGTGATCTTCAATTCCTACAGCATATTTTTAAAATAATAATTATTGGTTATAGTTTCTGTTCAAAGTAATAGGTATCTAATACCCAGATAATTTAAAAACTGAAAATACATATTTACCTATACATATTTTATAATATAATAATATATAAAATATTATTTAATTTTGTAAATAGTTTATCAAACTTCTAATGTTTATGAAAAATAAAATTCTGATGTCAAAATTCAAAATGATGTACTAAGTGGACGTGTCACCCGCATTTTTGTCTCCGTCTTACACGCGTACTACATAGCAAATTTACGTCCATCCGTTTCAATAGTGTGCTGTTAGTTTTGATATTAGAGTGAATTGATCTATTATCAAACTTTTGGGTAAGAACATTTTCTGTGTTCTCTTGTTGGTTTTCTAAGATATTTTAATTTTTAAGTGAGTAATTAAAAATATTACTTAAATTTACTATATCATGTGTAAGACGGAGACAACCTCTTAAGTAACACAGCTTTTATTTATTTCTTAAAAGTTGGTTACTTTTATCCAAATTTAATTTAATTTTCAAAATGTGTGTTTAAATTTTTTATTTTTCATAGAAACAAATGACATGGAAGTTCCTGAACGTCCTGAACAAATAACAATCACTTCCAACAGTGAACCTAATAGTATTACTTCTATAAATAACCAACAAAGTTCTACTGAATATGCAGTGCCATCAATAAGACAACATTCACAACAGCAACAATTATTATTGGTAAATAAAAATAATATTCAGATTAATTACATTTTTGATAATTATAAATAACAATTCTTGTTGTTGACTATAAAAAGTTAAAAGTGATTTAAATCAATTTCAATTTACATTTATTTATATGTATATGTTGTAAATTTGATCAAGTTATATTTACGACGTTGGATATTCACCCTTAAATTAACGATTCAGAAATCAATTTATATTTTGTTGTAATTTGCATCAAATAATTGACATTCACACCATATGTTTAAATTATCATTTCCTATACATGGTATGATTTTCTAAATATGTTGAATCTTTTTGACCTATTTATAGACATTTTTAATTTTCAATTTTTATAGTTTTTTCTATAAATATATGTACGTTAAATAATAAAAAAAAAATTATATACATTTTCACTGGGTCAAACGGCTTTAAATAATAAATATAATACTACGTTCCTCTTCAGTTGTTATCATAGCAGTTCAAAAATATTAAAGATACAAAGGCACAATTTTTGTTATAAGCATAAATATTTAAAATTTTTATAAAATTCATCTAAATCATGAAAATTTGCAAATTATTTTGTAGTTAAAAGTTTATAAAATTAACAATTTTTATAGCTAAAGATTGAAAATTTAAAACAATATTTATTTGTATTAATCCAACATACTGTATTTTTAATAGTAAAATAAATTACTCTAATACCAATAAAATATACTTCGTAATTTAGCCTGAGAATTGTTTTTTGTATACAATGATGATTTTATATCATTGAATTCAAATTGAACACATCCATGCAGTGACCTTCACAACACCTAGTGGTACTCTTTTGATCACTTTTTTAAATAAAAAAATTATGAAATGTGGAATTTTAATATTTTTAGACAAATAATACATTAGAAGATTGCAGTGTTGATGATGGTATTGTTCCATGTACACCAACATTATTCACACCTCGACGTTTAGATGGAGAGACTGTTAGTTCACCTCATGTACCATCTAGCAATCAAGTACAAAGATTTACATTTGTCGGTGAATCTCAGCCATCCCACACTCCTGGTAATTTTTAAAATATAATTATACAACATTAATATTGAAAATGAAATACAGCTTTTGTATAAAGGTGTTATCAATTAAATTATTAACTGACTAATGTTTGATTGTATTAAATTGTTTGAAATATTTTTTGAAATACATTTCTAGACTCAAATGATAGAGAACAGCTAGACCCGCCTGTACAAAATGTAACTGATTCTGACTATTTGAAAACAAAAATTTCCGAACTCTTCCTTGTAGATGAAATGCCAAAAGAGTTTTATGATCTTTGGAGTTTTTGTAAAAGACAATGTTCTACTCGTCCAGAAGGTATGGTATTATTCTTTATTTTAACCAGAGGTTGCATTTGAAAAGAAATTCCGTTTTATGTTATTCACAATTAAAACGTTACACATTTTTTGAGTTTATCGTTATTCAGAATTAAAACGTTACACAATTTTTGCGTTTATCGTTATTCAGAAATAAAACGTTATCCAAGTTTTGCGTTTATCGTTATTTAGAATAAAAATGATATTTTCCAACAATCTTGTGAGTAATTTAATACTTAATTTTAATATAGATATATTATATATTTTGTTATTCGTTATGCTTTGTTTTCCGGTATTTAATTATTTTTGATTATCACTTTCCGTTATAATTACGTTTACAAATTTAAATCATTATTTTTCAAATATAATGTTATTATAACATTTGCAAGCCCTGATTTTAACTTAATTTGTCAATTTAAACTCAATAAATTTTAATAGTAAAAATATTTTATAAATTTAGATGCATTATTATCGGTTGGATTGAAACTAGTGGGACCTTATGATGTATTGGCAGGACATATGAATGGGTTTAACACCAATGATATTGAAAAGACAGTTTTACATTGGCGTTATTACTACGACCCTCCAGAATTTCAAGTATGTGTACTTTTACTAAAATATTACTTGATTCAAGAAAATAATATTATATGTATTGTGAATGCTAAGGTCTTTCACCTTTTTAAGCAGAAAGTCTTTAAAAAAAAAAATCTAGCATGCCGCATTTGTAGTACTTATAAATTATTAATAATGTAATAAAAATACATGATATGCTTAAAATGTGTTTGCTGGCCTCAGATAAAGACAATACAGTATGTGGGTTGAAGAATCCTGGTGTAACGTACTAAAGTATACTATATAGACATATAGTATAGTTTATTATCCAATTACTTGTCAATACAACATATCTATATTTTTTTTAGACAATTATAGCAAGTACTGGTTCAGAATTTCATATGGGTTATTATAGGGATGTACCATTAGCATCGCCTGTTTATGTTGTTTCTAACGATTCAAGCAAAAACTGTATAGTTCAAAAATTAGGAAAAAGTTTATTTCAAGCTTTAAGGTAAATTTCAATTAAACACAAAATATTATTTTTGTATAATAAATGTATATAACTTCTTCAATTTTTTTTTTTAGGAAGCACCTTCAAAGCTTGGATAGTAAAGTAGCGACTACACTTCAAAAAAAATTACTCGCTTATGAAAAACGAAAAGTCACTGAAATTTTAGAAGGTCGAAAATGTGATCCAGTGACAAAAACATTTCATAAAGCTGGAATTGTAGTTCCATATGATAGTAAGACAGATATTGGTTATCGGCCTTTATCAGAATCTGAATGTACGTTGTTAAACAATTATGTTTACTTAGTTTTTTGGAATTTACAATATAATTTATTTAGATACTCTACATAAAATTCTAAAATCCTACCATGAAGCAAGTGAAAGTAAAAAAATGGAGGTAATGGATAAACTACAGCCAATTATAAATTATGCCAACATAGCAAGTGATGAGTGTGACTTTGGTACTGGGTTCGAATTAGGGATTGATTTTTTTTGTGACGGAAATCCTGATCTTCATCGTATTTGTAAACAACTCTTGGTAACTGCTTACAATTTACTCAGAAGACCTCAATTTGCCACTATTATTAAGGTAATTATAAATTATGTGAATATTCAAAGGATATAATAGTTATAATTAGAGTTTGAATATTTATGCACATTAAATTATTTGATTATGACGTATGCATATTCACTAAAATATGACTAAATATTAATTAAAAATTGTTAAATATGTACTTACACAAACTAATTATTTAATTATTTACTAAATAGATACATTTTTAAAAATTGACAGACTAATATCAGATCAATCTATATGTATTATGTCTATGATAAAATCATACTGATAATAAATTAATATAAAAAAATCATAATTTGGTGGTACATTTCGTTACAATATATTATGTCATAATCATAATTCTTAAACTGTAAACATATAAGTGACCGAAAAAGTAAAACACACCCCTCGAAATTAAAAAAGCACACATTGGGGTGGTAATACTCACGTTGGGAATCACTGCTCTAAATAAACTATGTTTATTACAAACATATAAGTATACTTGATTATTTTAGCTTTAAATAGTGTATAAACATAGAACAAATATTTTTTTTTCAGGCACATCTCAACAACAGAAGAAAAGGTCTAAACATGAGTATATTATAAATGTATTAATATGTAATTAAAATTCTATTTTATTGTCAAGTTTTTATTCTTATACTATACATTTATTTTTTTCTATTTATATAATTTTTCTAATTTAAGTAACACTAAAATAAAACAACAAATTATATATTACTTAAGTTATTCAATTTTTTTTTTTTTTTTTTTTAGTTCAATTAGAAATTAAATCTTGTTAATAGTATTAATTTCATACATGTTTAGAATTATAATTTTCTAATTTCTTAACATACATTAGTTATCTTATTTCCTCATGTTTATTTCAAAGTAATTGATATTATAGGAAAAAATTTCAAATTTAATCTACTCTATTATATAGACTACCAATTGTAATTTGTAGGAATATTATGGCAACGGCGAATCATAAGAAAATATAGATATTTCCTTGGGTGGATAGGCCTACCAATGAAAAGTCCTGTCTACACTACTGGTTCTGGACATAATATGATACACGGGCATAATGTATTGATATTATACAATAGAAATTAAAAAAGAGATTTAATTCAGTTTATTGTTATTAACAATTAACAAATAGTTACAAGTTACTAAGGCTCCTAGTATATTGTTTCAAAGTCAGATGAAAAATATTAAAAATTCTTAGTCACAGTTTTTTTTTATAAGCACTTAAAGTTCAAAAATTAACAAAATCACGAAAATTAGCAAATTATTTTGAGTTAAGAATTCGTTAAAATTTTTCTTTTTAAAAACTGTCTTCAAACTTCTTTTGCAACTGTCTAACGGTTTCGGCCTATTTGACCGAAGATCTTCAAAAACCAGCTGCATAATTTCCTTCGTGGACAGTTTCTGAATTACGGATGAATTGCTGTCGTGTATTGCACTATTTGACATGTTGAATATATACGTATTACGTTCAATATACGTTGAAGAAACAGATTATATGAAAATACGAAAACTTTTAGACAAAATTAGGTAAACTTATCCGTAATATTTGCAAGATGCAAGACAAATGAATAATTATTAGTAATTACTGTGACACAGACACGAATAATACATTTTCCAAACACTTAATAATTAATATGCATTTGGCAAAAAGATGTTTTTATATCTAATTTTTTTAAACATTATATAGGAACAACAATTATTTATTTTATTTTAGTTATAATGTTCTACTACAAAACTAAACGTTAATTTATTATTTAAATGAAACCTATAATTTTAGATTCTGAGTGAAACGATGAATGTATTGATTTTACAATAATGTGTGTTTTTTTTTTATTTTTTTTTAAATTTTTTTTTGTGTCTGTCATCACGTTTTAGGACAGTAAAACTGTAAAAGTGCTTGGATTTTCTTCATCAGTAGCTTTTCTGATAGGAAAGTGAATCTAGTTGGTACTTTGGGGTGTCAAAAGTAGAAATTTCTCAGTAGTTTTCACAAGCGCCGGGAAAAACAACATAAAAATTAAGGAAAAACGGGAATTTTTACGCAAAATCGGTTTTCCAAAAAACCGATTTTGGTTTTTGGTGTAACTTTAAAAGAAGTGAACATATATACATGAAATTTTCACTGGTTGTTTATATTTGCATTTTATATACACGATAACGTTTTAAAAATATTTTGATTTATTTTGAACTGTTTAGGGACATTTTCATTTTCCATCTTTTTTTAGTTTTTTTTCTAAAAATATCAATAAAATTTTATTTGTTGGTTGCGAAAGCTTGAAAATTTAATAGAAGGCTCCTATAGTATATTGTTTCAAAGGCAAATAAAAAATATTAAAAATCATGAGACACGATTTTTTTTTATAAACATTTACAGTTCAAAAATTGACAAAGTATGGAAAAATCACGAAAATTATCAAAATATTTTGAGTGAAGAATTCGTAAAAATTTTTATTTTTAAATCTAAGATTTGAAAATGTAATGCAAGATTCCTTATAAGATTATCTACCTTTATCAAAAAAAAAATTTCTATAAGAAGGTCAAATTAAACTTTAATGAGCGTTTGAAATTCAAATTTTTACAACATTGGATATTCACTCGATTTCTCATGTAGCGATTTCCTTATTTTGTTGTAATTCAAAAACGAATAACTGTAGATAGTAGATACATGAAAATTTCGCTGAATGTTTAAATTAACATTTCCTATACACCATACAATTTTGACTCTTTTTGAGCTATTTACGGACATTTAACGCTTTCAATTTTCTTTAGTTTTTTTTTCTATAAATATCAATTCAGTTTTATCTATTGGGCCAAAAAGTGTAAAAATTTAATACAAGGCGCCTGATATATTGTTACAATATCAGTTGAAAAATATTAAAAATTCATGGGCACAGTTTTTTTTTTATAAGCATTTAAAGATCGAATTTTGACAAAATTTATCAAAATCTCGAAAATTTTCAATCATTGTAATTAATAAATTATAAAATTTTCAGTTTTTATAGCTAAGGATTGCAAATTTAAAACAAAGGTTCTCATAAATAGTTCATACTGTAACCAAAAAAACTAAAAAATATATGAACACAGTTATTTTTTACAGACATTTTAAATTCAAATTTGGACGAAATTACATATTAAAAAACCTAGAATAATAACTATTTGAGTTATTTTGTTGTGATTGAATAATATTATTCGTATGTACTTGAAACTTCTAAAGTGTACTATTATATATCTATGATAGTATCACGGTTTTTGTTGATGTATAGCGCGTTATAAGTTATAACTTATAAGTACCTAATGAATATTGTGATATGACTAATTTGGAATTTATTATAGGTACCTATTATAGGTCAAATTTTGGTTTAGTATTATAGATATGTATATAAATGTCATATACCTAGACTGACATACCGTCTCCTCTCAGAATCGTTTTTCTTATACAATGATATTATATCGTTGAATTCAAATTTAATATCATCCATTATACAGTGACCCACTTGTAACCTACTGTACAGCAGAGTGACACCCACTTGTCCATCTTTTTTAGGTTTGTAAATATTGGATATGACCAAAATATAATTTAAGATAGAAATCTAAATTTGTGCTTTTGACAGTTTATGTGGAGCTACGGTGCACAGTGAGATATTTTCATAAAAACCTGGCTAAAATATAAAGATTAACCTAAAATTGAGTTTTTGGTTTTTTCCTCTGCAATAACTGCTATTTTGCATTTAGATTTAAATTTTAAACTCACTAATTAAGTACCTATTTACAGTAGATAAAAATACATTTAATAAATGTTCTGGGCATTTTGTTAACTACCTAAACGTTTATTTAAATGGTAAAAAAAGATTGTCTGGATCTATCTTGGAAGTCTACTAAATATAATGGTGAAGTTTGTATTTGTATATTTTACAAGTTTGTTCTGTGATATTATGTGTAATTATGTAAGAACTAAGAACTTGACATATTGCGCAGACTAGAACCAAATCTAAACCGTGTGGTTTATGATATAGGTACCATGGTTTGATACTTTATGATACACCATACATTATATTGTATGCCACCGAGTACCGACTCAGTAAAATGTAAGATCGACGAACAATGTGAATCAAGCCCTGATTAAAGGGGGAAAGGGGGCACAGAACCAGGGCCCATCTTTATCCCCAAAATATATTTTTTTTAACGCGCCCAATAGTTTTCAAAAAAAAAAAAAAGTTATTTAAGTAGGTAGGTATAGTTTGTAGGTAAATTATTATTAATAATTATAAAATAAAATTGTTCTCAATTTTATATCCCGAAAAATTACTCAGAACATGAACTGTGTTGGCTAACAATTTTGATTTTTTGTTTTTTTTTTTTGAATATTTTAGATTACCGATTTATCTATTTAAGTAGGTAATCGGAAAAAAAGACCAAGGAAAAAAATAACACGGAAAAAAAGGACAATTTACAATTTTTGAAAACTACATTTAAAACCGAGAATAATCATTTTAGTTATTTTGTTGTAATTTTATAATATATTATAATATATTATTTAAAACACTTTAACACTTCAGGGACTGTCAACAGACTAAATGTTGTTCACTAAAATAATAGCATAAGCGTATGAAAATGTCTACATAGGTCACTGTGATTTCTGCATAGGGAATTTCCAGTAATAAAAATTTATTTTAGGTACTCTATATTATTATACCACAAGTTATATTGTATTTAATATAATAATATAGAGATGAAGATTTGTATTGGAGTTCAATATAGGCACTTTTCTGTGTGTATACTGTTTACATGATGGTCGTATAAATAATATTATGTAAATTTGTAATGAAGGTAATTTCTCCTTTTATTAAATTTAAATTGTGTATAATATCCAAAAAATATATTATAATGTACATATTAATTATAAAATTACAACAAAATAACTAAAATGATTATTCTCGGTTTTAAATGTAGTTTTCAAAAATTGTAAATTGTCCTTTTTTTCCGTGTTATTTTTTTCTGTTGGTCTTTTTTTCCTTGGTCTTTTTTTCTTGGTCTTTTTTTCCTTGGTCTTTTTTTCCGGGATTCATTTAAGTAGGTATATAAAATATAAAAAGGAAGTTATATATTAAAATATTTAGCTTTTGTAAATTAGGTATTTTAGTTAAAAATATTCATTTATATTATACTAAACTTTAGAGGACCATAGTTAATAACCTAGGTCCTAGAGAACCAAAATTGATCATTTGACTGTCAAAATGTTCAGAATAAAGTTTTACCGGAATCCATCAAAAAATATAGTGATTACCATTTGAAAAAATAAAGTCAACTTTATTATTGCTACAACTGCGTGTTTAAACATGTTGAAAGTGTTATAAAAAAATTGCCTGTTAAAAATATTAAACACTTGTCTTTTTTTTGTTTTAATGAAATTCCATACCATTGATCCATACTTTTTAATAAAAACCCGCGTACAATGACATAAGAATATAAGATATAGGTACTCTGTATATTTTTTGTATAGTAAAAAATTATACAATAATATAAAGTCTTTAATAAGTAATGATACAATTATTTTGAAGTTAAAGGTGAAAGAGGGCCCCCTAAATGTATGGTGTCCCGAGGCCCAATTGATTCTTAATCCGGGCTTGGATCCATCTAAAATCTAAATAGTCAATAATTTAGTCTAAATTAGTCCTTCTTAAATTCGTTTGTCATTGGGCCCTTTAAATTTAATGTAAAACTGTCAAGGCTCTTTTTTTTCTTAATTATTTACTTAAATTAAAAGGTCCATTAAAATAATATAATAGTTAATTAAAAATTAATATTCTAATCACGGACCCCGGACTATTAGTGATAGCACAGGTGATATCACAAGTTAATTTATTATTTAGTGATAAATGATAGTGAGCACAATATTCCATTCCTTTTTAAGGTTATTACTTATTTTAAAGATCGAAGCGGCTGCGATTAGTGAAAATTTTTGCTAACTAAATTCAGAGTAAATTGTGCATCTCGTTTGATTGACTAATTTTACCGAACATTTTGTTTTAATCGATTTATTAGAAGTTTCATATTATTTGAACATGTCTGTTTTAATTCAGTGCTCAAAGCACATACGCACTGCGTACAATTTAAGCCGTCATAGGATTAGCAACACATTAATATCAAATACGAATTCTCATATTTCCCATAAAACATTTCCAGAAACCAACAATGGAAGTATTCCATATTGTAATACAAATATACTACCAAATAGGTAAGTTTTTACCGGTTATATTCAGAAAATTATGTGTTTTTACATTTTTTTATTTTCTGTACTTAGGTCATTTTTTTCATCAGCTATTCATCAAAGCTCATCAGCTAACAAAATCGATGAATACATCAGAAAAACTTGATTTGATTTGAGACGAATGGGTCGTATATCAAAAAAAGAAATTGAAGATATTCTAAATGAAATTAAGATTTCTAGTGAGTTTTTCTAGGAGTTCTGACCTCAAGAATTCTCATTTCATAATGTTTGTTTTTTTTTTTTTTTTGTAGAACTTGCCACTCCATCACAGTCATTAATGGTACTTCGATGTTGTGGTAGCTTGGTGCCTGATGAATTGCCTGAAAATCGAACAATATTAGTTAAAAAAATATGGCAAGCTATAAATCAAATCGGTATGAAATTATTTATTCATTACAAAGAACGAAAAAGTGTATATGATTTTATTTTTTATTTGTAGGGTCCCTAGGGATATAAGGCATTACAACACATGGCTGAAAGTAGACGTGGAAAACAATTATGTATTCTCCCCAAACTGAATTTGGAAGATTTAGAGAACAAGGAATATTACACCTAATCGTGTAACTTTTCAACATTTGATAACAGGCTATTGTCAAAATGGTGATATTGCCGGTGCTAGTCGTATATTAGAATATATGCGTGATAAACAGCTACCAATTAACAAAATAGTTTTTAATGCTTTAGTCATGGGTCATTCACAAAATAGGTATTATTTAGTGTACACTACAATATAAAACTCCTATTTCTTAATTTATAACATTTTTCCTGTTTAAAATAATAATATTTGCTCACAATTCGCACTGGCGTGTACTTAATATTGTACATAATCATGATTTGTAACTAATCATAGTTCCTATTTTAGTGATATGGAGAGTGCTGAAGGTGTTTTAAAGTTATGCAAGATCAAATCTAGAACCCACATCTAGATACATATACATATGTCGCTTCAGGGTATGCCAAAAATGGTGATATGCTAAAGTAGTAGATGTTTTGGATACCTGTGATAATAAGGAAATAAATTTAAGTGATAAAGAATATCTTGATATTGTATATTCATTGGCTATCAATGGTCATGGCGATAAAATTGATCAAGTAAGTGTATTTTTAATATTTCATTACATTTTTAAACGTTCTTATTTATAAAATATTTTGTTATTCATTATAGATAACAACTAGAATTCCAAAAACCTCTGGGTATAATCAAGATGCTATTAATTGTATTTATAAATTAATCACTAGTGGCCACGAAGAAATTGCATTTAAAGTATTTGATACAATGACAAAACCACTAAAGGCTGATGGAACTTCACCACCAATTGGTCGTTTCTTGATTGGACATCTTACAAAAGTTAATAGTGTAAGGACAGTGTTAACATTCTGCATATTTTCTAATTTTTTTGAATTGTATTTATATTCATGTTTGTACTCTCAAACTTAGAGAGATAAGTTATTACTGATTACGTATTATATTTTATGTATTATGTATAATCACAGAATAAGTAATAACTAGAAGGATACACTAGCTGAGAACTTAAAAATCTATACAATTTATATGCAAACACGTCTATCCAGAAATTTACAATATTCAACATTTTCTTTAAACCGGAGTAATTTAACGGATTTTACTATGTAGGGTGATTTACCAAGCATGCTCACCCTTTTTTCTTCATAATTCAGTTATCTAAAATTTGATTCTTGGAATTTTTAAACATACTTAATGCCTATATTTAAAAATTCTCAAGATTTTGATACTACTCAAGGAGTGCCTTTTAGGAGATATACAAACCTCTGTTTTTCAATCGAGAACCCCCTTTTCTCACTACGGTAAATAGTTAAGTGGATAGTTTTTCTGTAAATGTTGATGTATTAAAATCAAAATTTGAATGAGTAGTTTTTTGAGTTAGGTATTTAAGTTTGTATATAAGAACAGTGGCGCCGAAGTCCATGCTAACGTCGTGCCGTGGCTCGACCTGTTTTTTTGAAAAATGTGGCCACATTTTATTTACATCATAACTTTATTATGAGCCTGAGTATGTTTAAGCTATGATTATGAATAAATATATGATGGGGGACCTCTATATTAAATAACTAAGATATTGAGGCCACAAAGTTTTGAAATTGCCCAAATACATTTTAAAAACTTCAGTGCCACTGATTAAGAATAATGAGTTTGGAAGATATAGGAGGTATAGTGATTTAAAACTGTGAGTAATATATTAAACTACTAACATTTATAATTTATAAAAATGGTCCATGTATAATAAATACTAGGTACAAAATTACTTATATTTTATATTTTTGTAAACCCATTTTTAAGAATTATCCTTAATATTAAGAATTTGAATAAAAGTATTGTTAAAGGAAAAAATAGAGGTAAGCATTCTTGGTGAATTGCCCTATACATTTTTGTGATTTTTTTAATTTTAATTCAGTCAAAAGAAAGTTAGGATAATGGGAATTGTTTTTATTATGACAGTATCAGTTTGTCAACAGATGTAGCAAATCTTTCCCCTATATAAATCTATCTTATAAAATATCATATAAGTATTATAATATTAAAATTTTATTTTTTAGTCTCTGGATAATGTAATTGGGTTTTGCAAGAAATTAGTATCTGAAGGGACAAATTCTAAAGCATTTGAAATTGCAACTGAAATGGCATTGAAGAATGGATCAATTGATATAGCATTAGGCATGTTTAAGTATTTGAAAGAAAACGATCTACCAGTTAGACAACATTACTTTTGGCCAATTTTTGTTGCTAAAATTAAACAAAATGACTTGCAAGGTAAGTAATTACTATTTTGTGTTGTGTATTTACTTTACTTAGTAAAGTATCTTGTAAAAGCATCATTTAAATTATTTTAATCAATAATTTTACCATAGGATTAAAAGATGTGCTGAGTATTATGGTTAATGAGTATGAATTAAACCCTAATATTGATACCCTTCGGTACTATATTTTACCAACAATGCTTAAAAATAACATAGATGGAATAAAAGTCGTCAGCGAATTACAAATGTTGGGTATACCATCAGGCACTACTACACATTCATTAGTTTTGTATTTACTGTCTGAAAAAAAGATTCGTATAGCAGCAGACATAGGTAGTTTTTATAGACTTAATTATAAAATAATAATTCTAATGTTTTATTCATATTAATTTTAATTTTTTTTTTTTTAACAGCTGCTTCTAGTCGTGCTTTCTACGTCCCTTCTTTAGTTCGTCGTCCATTAGTAAATGCATTTTTAGTTGGTAATGATATACCATCACTTATTATATTACTCCAACAAATATGCAATGGGTTTTCGCGATACTCACTTGTAACTACCCCTGAATTGTCAAAACAAGAAAAATTTGATAAGAACACTATTCATACAGAAGAACAAATAACTGAAATGCGAGAATTCATCAGTCAAGTTCTAATTGACATTGTTCGAAATTTAAAACAGACTTCAGGAGTTGTGGAAATTGTTCATGAATTATTAGAAGTAAATCTTATATAATGTTTAGTTATTCAAATGTAATTAATTGTATTTTATTAAAAAATACTAGAACATGTATGGAAAAGGCTTGGGAATTAATGCTTTTGGATTAGAACAAGTACAAAATCATCTACAAGGAAAATTAACTTTTGAAATTACAAATTTATTAGAAAATTTAACAGATTCTAATTTAGTGCCTAAAGCAGCATTGAGTGCCAAGCCAGGTGGATATACATTATCTAATGCAGTAAGTGTTACTAAGTTCAAAGTTTTTGTTAAATTAACTAAATATTTTTTTATATTAAAATGGTTAATAGGTATTGAAATAAAAATGTATTTTTTATTGTAGGATGAAAATACATTGGAAAACATTGTAAATAAAGCAGAAGCCTCTGGTGAACCTAAAAATGGAACTAAAAGACAGTTATTAAATTTGTATTGTAAAAATAACAATTTTGAAAAAGCTTCTGCATTTAAAAATGTAAAAATTCAGTACATAATTAAGAAATAGTATTATTTGTATTATATTTTTATAGTCTGTTTAATTTCTAAATTTATTTTATGTATAGAAATTAGCAGCTGAAGGATTTAATATACCACCTGGGTCAATGGTTTTACTTATTGATATGTATTTAAATCACAATAAACTGGACGAAGCAAAACAAATTTTTCATGAATTAAAAACTAATAATTCTGAATTTATTCTGGACAAATTTAAGGTTATTAAAATGACGGAATTAATAGCTAAAATTGAAAGCATTGAAAGTAAGTATTTATTTGTTTGTGATTTATATTAAAAGTTTGTATTTTGAATGGCGTTTTGTTTTTTTATATAGATGCTATAGATTTTCTATCTTCATTTAAACAATTTGATGATAATACCGAGTTTACATCATTTCAACATGCCAATATTTGTTGGAAATTATTAAATACTGTAGCTGAAAGTGGCAGTGTAGAAAATCTTCAAACAATATTTGATTTAGTTATCAAGAATAACTATATTACTGTATCAAATATACTTTTAGGACCGTTAATAAAAGTTCATATTGTCAAGTAATGAGTTATATTATATTATTTTATAAATTATTTAAATTTAATATTTTAATGTATATGCCTTTAGCAACAATATTAAAGGAGCTTTGGATAAATTTGAATGGTGTTGTAAGACATACAGATGTACTCCATGGAAAAACGAATTAGCTTTAAAATTCATTCAAGCAGAAGATGCTATTTCCTTGCAAGTGTTAACTGACCTGAGTACTACTGTACACGGTGAAGTAAATTCGCTATATGATCTTATGTTTGCATTTATTGAATGTGGCCGTGTCAAACAAGCTCGTAAAATTTTAGAAGTAGGTGAAAAGTTAATCTTTTATTTTCTTAGTTAATGATTGTGGCTTAAGTTCAACATTTATTCATATGAACTTAAGTCCTTTACAAAATAACATCAAACAATTAACTGCAAATAAAAATGTGTTAAAACATTTTTTATATCTCATATATTGTTTGATCTTATTAAAACTAGTACATATTTTAAATATTTTACTCACATTCATAAATACTTATATTAAGAATTGAGTAAGTCTTCATTTTGATTCTATGACATTTTATCTAATTTA